GTTAGGCAGCTTGTGTCACAGGGAAACTTACCCGGGGTAGGTATACTATTTTTCTCCCATGTTAGGCAGCTTGTGTCACGGGGAAACTTACCCGGGGTAGGTATACTATTTTTCTCCCATGTTAGGCAGCTTGTGTCACGGGGAAACTTACCCGGGGTAGGTATACTATTTTTCTCCCATGTTAGGCAGCTTGTGTCACAGGGAAACTTACCCGGGGTAGGTATACTATTTTTCTCCCATGTTAGGCAGCTTGTGTCACGGGGAAACTTACCCGGGGTAGGTATACTATTTTTCTCCCATGTTAGGCAGCTTGTGTCACGGGGAAACTTACCCAGGGTAGGTATACTATTTTTCTCCCATGTTAGGCAGCTTGTGTCACGGGGAAACTTACCCGGGGTGGGTATACTATTTTTCTCCCATGTTAGGCAGCTTGTGTCACTGGGAAACGTACCCGGGGTAGGTATACTATTTTTCTCCCATATTAGGCAGCTTGTGTCTCGGGGAAACTTACCCGGGGTAGGTAACTGATGACAAGAGAAGACAGCTGATAACAAGAGACTAAGCACTGCAATCCTGCATCCGTAATGTCTCCTTCACAGGAGTCCAAGTTGAGAAACCTGTAAACAAAACAATCAGAACTGCTGCTTGGCAACTGGCACTCTCTGATACAGACAACTCAAGGACAACTCAAGAAACTGGATGGTGACACAGTGCCAGGCACAAATACAATTGAGTGCTGATTGTAATATGAGATTGCACTGAGTTTGCTTTAACAAGCTCTTTCATTGACTAGTTCACTCGTGCCATCATCCTCTCGACCAATCAAAAACCAAGCCTGTCCTGGTCAAGCGCGTTTTCCCGAGTTCTTATTGGCTCATTATAACATTCATCTTTGTTCAGATTGGCTGTTGTGATAAGTTTGCTCATTCCAGTGATACTCAATCTTCAGCTCCCTGCTACGCTGTTATCATACCTAATGACATTTACCATACAAACTTTTCACATCAAAGGAAAACAAGAACACTTACTTTAAATGAATGCAACTTCTTCCAATGCTAAATAGCAACTCATCATTGACAACAGTATTCTTTGATAGATCCAACTCTTTCTGAAAGAATTAAACAACATGATGATTCTAGGGGGTATGCATCTTCATAAAATTTGGCACCAACTGTTGGCAACAGCTTGTACATAATAAGGGAAAATGTGGATTGCATAAAGCGGTAAAGTAAAAACTCTGATGGTAGACAATAATGTTTGATTTTTTAACCATTGACTGAAGTTTAAGATTTAGTTGAGTAAAAAAATTATCAGGGGTAGTTCTACATCACTGCTTATCATCTTCCAAACTTACCAGCAATGACAAATTAGCAATATTCTGCAGCCCTTGACTAGTCACTGTTTAAAGCAAAAATATAATTGGAGTGCATTAGTTAAACCTTTTTGAGGTGGTTGTGGAAATCACCTTCAATCCAAACTTTTTCAAGTAACATGGCCATGAGAAGTCAGAGTCCCTTAGAAAGAAATAGAGCATTTTAAAGACTTGTTTTAAAAAACAACAACAACAACAACAACAACAACTTCTGGACAATTTACTTAACCTTCAAATTATATTGCAGCAGAATCTCCACCTGAGGTCACGAGTAATACTATCACCTCTTTGTATGACCACAGCAAAATAAATGAAGAACAGCAGAGACAGAAATACGTCTTTGTCACTTACCATTGTGTCCAGCTTTTGAGAAAACTAATGACTCAGTCATACAACAGTGCTGCAAAAAATATCATATAACACAGTACTTAGTCGAATAAAATAAAACAAGAGAACTTCTAAGCAACAAATCCTATCTGTCACTCTGTGCACTTAGCCTGCAAATAGGCTCTAGTTGGTACTGTTGTACAAGTGCCTGTAGGAGAGCAAGTGCAAGACCACTGGCTGGCTTGTCTCCTAAGGCTTGGTTGGTCACACTACAGTGCCAAAATTAGAGATTGCTTGAAGGCTATAATGTAACTGATAATTGTCAGTGCAAAGGTAAAAAGAGGAATGAAAAAATATTCTCTGTTGTATACATCTATAATTGATTAATGAGGAAATAACCTGTGTCAGCTGAAGGATGCCCTCATCAGTCAGAGTGATACAGCCTGATATACTGATACTTCTCAAGTTTTTACATTTATCTCCAATGTAAATCATTCCTTTGTCTGTCAACTACCAAGATATAAAAACACACACCTTAAGTCCTACACAGAATGTACACTCTGGTATAACCTGTTCCCATACACATGTAATAACTAAACAAAAGATTATAATAAGCAGCATTATTATCCAAATACACTACAAATATCACGCAGTATTTGTACTCCAGTGGACCAGTTCATTAGACAGGTTTTCTCACATCGTGCAAGTGAAGAATTAGATTGAAGATACGAAAAAAAAAATGGTGGACAATTTGAATCATATTTCTGACAACAAAGAGTCCGAATGGCTGGTAAATTAAATATAGATACATGTACAAGTCTATTGGACAGATTGAACAAAGGAAAATAACTAGATGACCAGGAAATTTCTTCATTTATTGAAGAAAATAAAAACAACACAACAACCCATCAATTCTGTTCCGCTCTGCATACTTCTGTCACGCACTCCTCATAAATAAATACCCACGAAATTTGCCTGCACTGATACTGAACAATTTGGCGTGTTGGTTAATAAATAGCTTATTAGACATTTTGTTGCGTAGTATCACTGAGTATTTTAACTCGTTATTTGTATTTTGACTCGCCCTACCCTACTTGTAAAAATACTCAGAGATACTACACAAAAAAACGTCTAATAAGATATATGTATCTAGAAAAATAAAAAAGTTGATAATTAAGAGAATCTACAATTTTCTTAAGAGAACTAAACCTGTTGCTTAAGATGATACAAATGTTTAATGGATTAAAAAATGAGCATCATTCAGTACTTTACCTGGGTACAATCCTCAAGATACAAATTTTCACAAGATGGTGGTAGCATAAAGAAACACTATGGAAAGAAAGAATAATCATAGTTGTTTTAATACTCCCAGAATCACCTGCCCCTGTTTGCTGTAACTAATTACCAAACATTTACCTGTCCCCTCACACTTTTGCTTCCTTCCAAATTGACATGACGTAGTTTTTGACAATTCTTGAAGAGCCACCAGAGTCTGAAATATGAGAAAAATGCACTGAGAATGTTCACTGTACAATTGATTGTGTCCTTATGCAACAATGCTACATTTTGAAGCCTACAGATTAAGTACAAAAATGAAAAACATGACACAGCCAAGACTTGAGCCAGGACCTCTTATTTGATAATTATTCTGAAGGGAAAATTCCCCACTGTTGAGCCATTACATCTACCACCCAGCAGACAGGAAAATAGAACAAAGAAAATCAATGACTAGCTTCTTGACAGAAACATTTGAAAATTTTAGCTGATACTCAAATTTCTTCTTGCAATTGCTTGTTTGTGAAGACACTTATTTTCAATGATACCTAGTATACATTTGCATATAAAAAATTATACAACCAAATATGAGTGCTCGCTATATAGGCAAGCTAAGAAACAAGACAAGAAAATTATATTAATAACGAAATGGCAAACAAATGCCGACAAAGCCAAGACTACATTCTGTTCCCTGTTTCATTCAATCAAACTCCTTTGCTGATCTAAGAGATTGTATTCTTGCTAGGTAACAGAGGTGAAATTTAGACATCACATTTTAGGAGACTTACGCTTTTTCGCCAACTCTGTGACACCTATGAAGGGTAATTTTCTGGAAGTAAAAGCTTTCTATAAGTTACAGCAATACCGTCATTTAATTTAATAATCAGCCCATAAAAACTGTATGGTGTCGAGTGAGTAACTAAATTACAAAAAAAAGCTGACAGAAAGCAAGTGATCAAATAATTTGATTAACTTAATAATTGGTTGATTGATTACTTGATTAATCAATTTCAAAACCAATTGAAAACCCCCATGAATTGTTTTTAATATGACAGCAGGATAGTCAAAATCTATGAAAAAGTAATGATCTTTGTTATGTGACAAGACAAGACAGTCTTCACCAAAAGGATATATCCAGAAAATAACAAATTCAAATAAACAAGAGAATATGAGGAATGAGTTTATGTACCTCCAATTGTTTACAGCTTTGGGACAAGTTCTTTAGTGATGATGTACTAACTTTAACTCCACTTAAATCAAGTTCTTTCAACAACTTGCATTGTTTGCCTGTTTGGTAAAATAAACAAATAAATAGATACTTACTAGATAAATTACTGTGGATAAATAAAGAAAAAGCATTACCCACCAGCATCTTTGCTGATTTAGGCAATATATATAGTTATGTTGTTTTTGCTCAGGCTTTTGAAAGTATCAATTAGTTATTTGCCTGCAGCAAGATTTGAAGAATGCTTACAACTGAATATGAAAAACAATCTGGCTTTGCAGTCATTTGGTTTTGCTTTATTTTGCTTTGTGATTGGTATGGCACACTACAAAGGAGATGTGGTGGCCAATGGTAAGTGGCTGAATCCTACATTGAAAGGTCTAAGTCTAAACCCTTGTGGGGTTATTGTACAAAGGTTTGGGACAAAGGTTTGTTGCCAAGAAATTAGGCTGCCAGCTGAGATTTCAAGTGAGGTGGCTCAATGGTAGTGAATGATTGTAAGATTGTAACCTCAGAAGTGCCTATTGTACTTTACCAAGCGATTACCAGCCAAAAGTCCAGCCAGCAATCACTGCATTTAGGCATTTAGCAAAAACCCAGAGGACATGCAGAAAAATACCAGGCAAAGAAACTCTTGCTTTCCTGAAGTAAATGAGAACTGTGGGAGGAGGATATCATGGCACCTACCAATACAAAGCACTGCAAATTCTGTCAAGAAGTGGGGTGATTGGGACAAATCAAGAGATGTAATATTCTGGCATCCTCGTCTTAAAATGGACCACAGAACTTCATCAGTAAGGCCTGAAAAACATAGTGCACCAGCAATCAATGAACAAAGGACAGATGAGTTGAAAACAACATGCTGGTGAGTTAAAAACAACAAGAAAATGAGAGAGAGCCTAATAGTTGTACCTCCTACACCTTTAAATGATGTGAATACTCCTTGAAAGTCCAGATGGGTTATATGATGCCATGACTTAATAGCCAGTAACCTCCATCTTCTGCATACTGAAATACGACAAGACATAAACAAATGGAAACTACCTGAAAATACTGAACTAGTCTACTTCTTTGTCAGTAACCTTGATGATGGCCTACAGAATTTCATTTTATTGCTTGACAAGTCTTTTGGTCCACTAAGTCTTGGACATTTCCAATCCAATTTGCCCTTGGCTATCCTTTTCCTTGTATCACCATAGCCCTCAGGAATACAGTCATAATTAGCCAATTACAGGGTGTCCAATGTAATTTTCTTTTACATTAAAAGTGTATCTGAGTGAGTAAGTGAGTCAGACTGGACCTTTGCATGATTTGGGACCATGAATAGGGTTAGACTGGCTCACACAGATACAACATTCCACACCCTTCTTCATTCAAAACTTCCAAGGTATGGCTAGGGAGAAATAAAGAATTCTATGATAACAAATCACAAGAAAGGGGTAGAAGCCCATGGCCAATATCAAGAGAACAGCTACTTGTTCCTAATGGCTGAGTGAGAAGCTATCAACAATTCAACAGCTACAAGTACCATAAATCTTGACTGATATAACAAAACTGAACATATAAACAGTATTGGGACTGATCTTAAGCAGGGCAAGATCTTTGATTTACTGTAGGTAGATACCTCTTTCAACCCTGATCCTATCCTTAGGACTTAAATATAAGAAGATGTGGAGCATGGTGTACTCATTCAATTGGAAGATTTCTGGCCTGTGGAAGAAAGACAAAAACTTCTTCAATCTGTTAGAGATGACCTTGCAGGGATCGACACCAACTTTTCAACTTACTGGCCAAGTGGCTATATAGTGACATCTTAGATGTTACGACAATTTCAGTTTGTTTACTACGCAAACTGGCGAGTGGAAATCAAAAACCATTAGCCAAAACTGAATTTCTACTGGTCTGTGTCCAGTTAACTACCATTAGTGTTGAACCCCGCCTCGTAACCCTCATGGCAGTTTGATATAAACTGTGTCGTGATATATCATTCTGTTATTTCCACTTTTTAAATCATTATTTTAATAACTAAAAAGTGAATTTTCTACTAAGAATGCTACTTTTGGAGGGTTCCTATTTATAACTTTTACTTTTCAGATACCTACATTAAATTAAGAAATATTACTACAGTAACTGCTCTCCCAGAAGGGATTCTAATCAGGACTTGTTACCTAAAAACCTTAAACTTTTAACTCCTAGGAGAAACCAAGACAGAATTTCGTGTTACAAAGTCAATATTCAACATTAAGGAGACACGTGATGAGAATAAAGAAAAATATTATCAAGGGGATTATAAGTTGTTGCCATACCAAATTCCCCTAATTAGCATCATAAAAATAATATGGCAGTCAGTAAGGAGAATTGCTAAATTAATCAGATCTTGGGTGTGAAAGGATTAATAGTTATTATTAAAAGTTAAGGACAAATTTTTTTTTTACATACAAAAATTGGGGTTCTTTAGATCCAAAGGTATTGCATCCGCAAGATACCATTGCCTCTTCACTGGCTTCATTTGTGTTGTTTCCATTCTCACGATAACATTCCAGTGCCTCCTTGAAACAAAGTCACAGATCAAGTGTCATTTCTACAGAAACCTGCTCTGTCAATAATCTCACACTACAAAGCACACAAAGAATGAAATACAAATGGAAAATTAAATCCAGAATTGATGCACACCCTCAGCAAGACAACCTCCAGTTCCCATTATCTAACAGGATTCTTACATCAAAAAAGGTTTTTTTCTGGGCTCTTGCATTTCCCTTTCTCTCCAAAAATCAGCATTCCACATGCTTATTCCAAATGTTATCTTTAAATATAAGTAAGTCTAGACAGATTTTTAAGTAATTAGCCTGCCAATAACACATCATGCTATAAATACAGAAACCAAGATAAGCAACTTCTACCTTGAACAGCAGTTTTTGTGAGTCTGTCTCACTAGAAGAATTTACCACATATTAAAGATGTTAAATGGTCATTAAAATGAACACATATTCTCACCTCAATAGTGCTTTCTTGAATAAAATTTTTGGAACCTGCCACAAGAAAATGGGCCGAAGAAAAATTTTAACACATAGCAGGGCTTGACACTAACTTTTCAACTTACTAGCCAAGTGGCTGGTGTAATCTTAGATGGTACGACAATTTCAGTTTTTTTACTAGCCAAACCGAAAATCAATCAAAGACCACTAGCCAAAACCAAATTTCTACTAGTCTGTGGCTAGTGGGCTACTGTTAGTGTCGAGCCCTGACATAGAGATTCTTATTGTGTAGCATTTCAGTGTAATCTATTCACATTCCATCTAGATTATAAACACATTATTTTCTACATCTATAAAGAGTAACCAAAAATAGTGTTATAACTTACTTCTTTTCACAAAGGAGCAGTGTAGTCTATTAAATTCAAAGCCCCATAAAACACAATTACTGAATACTTTAAATTTATAAACACTTACTATTTATCAAATAATTCAAGGGTGACCTTGATAGTGTTTTTATTTGATAAAATGGCCTGGCTAATTATTAAATTTTTGGACCTTGAGAGTGAGCACTTACTCAATCCTTGCCATTTTCAGCAAGAATATATGAATATAAGCAAAGTAAAATTATCATGCAACAAAACAATAAATAATAACAAAACTGTCATAGACTATGAATTCATAGATTGCTAAATTGTAACTGGTAAAGAAATTATAATCAACAATTAATCTATAGCGTATTCGTGATAGCTTTTCTCTACTGCACCTAAACATTTATAGCCTACAATGTAATGCTAGTAAATTAACAGTTCTTTTGTTAAACATGAATTTAAAATTCTCTTTAATTGGTATTTCTGAAACTTGGTTAAATGATTCATCGCCATCAGTTGACATTGACGGTTACAGTTTTGTTCATAACAGTAGGGAAAGTAGATCTGGTGGTGGAGTTGGTTTGTACGTTTCTAGTAATTTGAATTTTAAATTTCGTTGCGATCTTTATTTCTCAGAGCCAAGCATCCCAGAATCTTTTTTTATTGAAATTACTCAGCCCCAGGGAAAGAACATTGTTACTGGTGTGACTTACAGCCCGCCAAATCAAAATGTTGTTGAATTTCTAACAATGACCAATGAGCTATTAAGTAAGATTTCAAACAAAAAAAAGATATGTTATTTAATGGGTGACTTTAATTTAAATCTAATGAACCACCAAAGTCATTCTGTTACTGGTGAATTTTTAGATGCGCTATATTCAAATATGTTCTTCCCATTGATTACACGCCCAACAAGAATAACTTGTCAATTGGCATCTTTAATTGACAACATTTTCGTCAATTAATTTTTTGATAGATCTAGAAGTGGTCTGTTCTTCACTGATATTTCTGACCATCTGCCTATTTTTCCTATTCATTTCGACACACGTGCGAAATTTGCAAGAGGGTATCACGCTTCATACATTCCTCATACAACACACCTAGTTGGTATATTTCAGACAATACCGACGACAATCTTCCCAAACAAGTGAAAATGTGTGAAATGCAGACTTTCTTGTTCTCGATTTGACGTCAAATTACCCGCTAGAGCCATTCCTCTTTAAACTCGGTCCTGGGGCAAGATGGCAGCTGATTTTCCGTAATTTGACTGGGCACAGAAAATTAAAGATTTGAGCAAATTAAATAATTTTTGAACAGAAATACTCCAAAAAATAAGCTTATTTCATTTAGCAAAAAAAATTTTTGGGTTTGGGTGCACAAGGTGGATGCTTTTTTTAAGTTGGGTACTCAATCAAATAAACACGTGTGGTGTATAACATTTAATAATAAAAAACATCATCCATTAATATAATTTCTAAAATAAGAACAATCTATTAGCATAAAACATTTCCAAAAACGATTCTACACCCACCTTTCTTCCTTCGCTCTGGAGCGCAAACTTTCATGACTCTAAAGCCATACAAAAAAACATGCAGACAATCATTATTATAAGTAGGAGAGAATAATTACTGATTTGTGACTGATTTATGACTAATACACTAAGAAGATATCCCAAAAGAAGCATTTGAGCTGATTGTTCAGCAGGACAGTAATATTATGTAGATATCAGAGACACTCAAAACAAAAAAAAAGACAACACACTTTGTTGATAATCTATGCAATAAATAATGGCACTCTTATGGGCATAATATAAAAACTCCTTATTAAGCCGATTGTAATTGTTCTATGTGGCTAGAAATGTGTGTTTCTGATAGATGTTGACCTTTTGTAGCCACTTCTCTTATTACATCAAAATCAGTACTGTCAGTGATACCTTCCTTCTAAAGTTCTCTCATCATCTGAGGAATCTTTAGCTTTCTGTGCTTCCCATTCATTACTAAAGGTCACAAATCCAAACCTAAACAAACAAACAATAAGAAACTGAACAAACAAACCAATTAACATCAAAAAGAAAAAACCTTCAGTTGGGAAATATTTGAATACAGTTTACAATTTAGTCTTTGAAATAATTGTTCTTCTGTTCTATCATAAAGTTATGCATGAGAAGCAGAGTAATGATCATTTCAGGATAGTTGCAATTTTAGCAGTGGCAGAAAAGAAGCCTGAGACAATTCAGGTCACAAAAGGATTCAAACCTGTGCCTTCCAGATAATAGATTGGCACCACTACCAACTGTGCAACATATACCTTGGGAGCAAGGTAAATTTTAGAGGGTTCTTCTTTCAGATAATAGATGCATTTTGTATTAATGCCTTCCAGATAATAGATCGGCACCACTACAAACTGCGCAACATATACCTTGGAAGCAAGGTAAATTTTAGAGAGTTTTTCTTTCCCATCAAGGAATCTGATCACAACTGTTAATAATAAAATTTCATCCGACCTGCACATGATATTCAAGTAAAGCAATGATTCTTGCAGGTGAGTGGCAACAATAGCAGTTGTAGAAAAGAAGCCTTATGGTGTTTCTTTATTAGCTTGTCATGGGAATTTGATGTTCCAGATAATACCCAGACAATAATGCCCCAATAGTTTGTGCAAGTTACAACATAAGTAACAGAATTGTAAAAATACAGATCACTCTTGTGATTTAAGGGGTTCGTAAGATTTATCAAACATGGAATTGCATCTTAATGAAACATTGAATTCTCTGACCAGCCAGCAATCAAATGTAAAATAACCAAATAACAGTAACAGTTAATAAAATAACAAATAACACAAACAACCAAAAAATTAAACAAATAAAACAAAAATTAAAAAAAAACCTAATTATCCTGCCCTCCTTAGAGGGTCATTTGTTAGGGTGAACAATTTAAGTCAATTCCTCACCCTCGAGAACGTTTTTTCATACGATCCGTGATGATTTGTGCACAAATAACTTTACCAAAAGAGGTGAAAAATTCCTTCAGTTCTCTTGATTTTACTCTGTAGCTAACGTTACCAACAAAAACCTTGCACTTGTTGGCAACTACACGGGTTTTTCTGCAGAATTCCTCGGCTTTTTGTATCAACGTTGCTGAACTTGTAGGTTTTGTGTCTTTTTTCGGTATTACTTGGTCTGAGCTATCTAGTAAAGAGGAGACATTAGCCACAACAGCTATTTCCGATAAACCACAGTTAAGTTTCTGGTGATGAAGAAGTTTGAGTGTTTGTACGTTTGAAGATTGTTTGCTCATCTGCGTATTTATCACTTTTCATCGAGAAGAACTGTCTATCAGTGAAATTCGAGTGTACAACCTCGTAATTCCTTATGAGATTGTTCGGAGCTACAAAATTACCAAGAAGTATCCTTGCGTGCCCTTGAGGTTTCTGGCAAGCAGTGCAAAGATGAGCAATTGGTACGTCATATATAGTTAACACGCAAAGTCATTCGAAGATGAGAGATTAATTTACTTATTTTCAGCTTTTAAAAGTTTGTGTTCCTTAGCAGAAAAATCGTATTTTCTAAGATCGTTTCCACATATTTGTATTTAATAAAAATCCTTTTGATTGATTCTCCGACTGGATGCAGATATTGATTAGTTTTCAAGAGCACAGGAAAAGTAGGCTACTTCCGGTTGCGAAAGGCGTGAAAACGAGGTAGAACGAGCGAAAATTTTCACCGAGTATGCGTGAGAACTCGAAAAGTTTTGAGAGATCCACTTGCATTGCTGTCTCATTCTCGTTCTGACCATCTAAATGAACTCAGACCAAGGTTCCCTTCTTCTCAAAAAACAGCTTGCAGGTATACGATCTATTTTAGTTCTTGCCCTCAAAACCCCGGCCTTTTAGTTTGATGTTTCTACCAATCCAATTGTACATGGCGTCGTTTCCTCCCTGTAGACCTCACGAAGAACCCGTCAGAGGGATTTTCTGCTGGCCTTATAGATGACGAGAATCTGTTCAAATGGGAAGTATTGGTGGTAGGACCCCCTGATACTTTCTAGTAAGTCTTAGTTTTATAATTCTGGAACTTTTGATGTGGGATACATACATTTTGTTGGTCAACACGCAATTACCGATTCATCATCTCCATAATGTGATGCGTAAAACTAAAATTTGTCGTTTTGTTTACTGTTTATTGTAGCGAGGGAGGTCTGTTCAAGGCACATTTGTATTTTCCTAAAGAATATCCACAAAAACCGCCAAAAATGAGATTTATATCAGAATTCTGGCACCCAAATGGTAAGAACGTAGGTAGGCTAGGTACGAATTGAAGTACGACTTCCAGGGACACGTTGTTTTGCTCTTTGTTTTGTGTTGTAATATTGTTTGTGAAAGCCTTCTTGTCATCGTCATATTGAAAATAATTTCTTAAGGTGAGGTAGTGACAGAGGAAGCTTTTTGATGGTAAATACCAACAACGGAGGGCTTCACCTTGGGTAGAATCAACTTGATTGAGCAATGACGACACAATGCTCTTCAACTTGAAAGTTTTCTCTTATCTTTGATTTAGTCTTTTCTATCTTTATTATTGAAGAAGATCAGGAGAGAGATTCATACGTTAATCACAAGTTTTCTCACGTCATTTCTCCTTAGAAGTAGCTCCAATTTACGTTTTGTACTTAATAATTCCCCACATCAGTAGAGAAGAACTGACAAAATTAGTTAATAACTTCAAGAAGAACAATCTTATTGATTAACAAGAATTGGACATTAAAATGCGAATTGAAATGCAGTAACCTGTAATTTTTTTCTCTTTGTAGTTCACAAGGATGGTGAAGTTTGCATTTCTATTCTTCATGAACCTGGTGAAGACAAGTATGGCTATGAGAGGGCATCAGAACGTTGGCTTCCAGTCCATACTGTTGAAACAATCTTGATAAGTGTTATTTCCATGATTTCAGAGCCTAATGATGAATCTCCTGCAAATGTAGATGCTGCAGTAAGTATTACTCCTTCATCTGTTCTCAAATTGTAGCTTTTATTGTGGACTTTGTTATGGTATGTGTTTTTTTTTTGAAAAAGATAATCGATAGGCAATTGAAATTATAACATTATGAGGTTAGGAAAGGCTGGCAGTTTCCTGCATTAAATTATGTGGGTTATTCCCTGGGCTCCATCACTTTCAGGGCTCCTAAGCAATTTTTTTTTCACATTGCTGATTGTGACCATTTGTGAAAAACATTTTGCTCCCATCCCTCCCCTCTATTAAGGTCATAATTTCTTTAATTTTTGTATCACTGAGTGTGATGGTGCCTGCCGAGGGTCATTCAGAAAGTTTTTATGGTTATCCTTTGCACTTGGAACATCTACAGGCACTTTTAATTAGGGATATTCCCCACAAGCATTTAAAGTTGATGAGTTCTAATTCTGTATGATGGTTTATCATAGTAGATTACCACTATGAAAGACATTGTCTTCATACTTAAAATTTTCTATGTTATTTGTCTGCCACTGAGTCATTTTACTAAATGAAGTAATAAGAGTGTGCAAAATATGCCACAATTTTACTCTATAAAAAAGGGCAAAAATGCAGAGCAACAAAATGGCTACACTGAATAGGGCTTGACTTTTAAAGAAATCATCTTTCAGGCACAACAAATTTTTTATTGGTCACAAATAACACTTAATGGTGTCATTTGTGTTGTTTTTGTCTTTCATGTACTTTGCATGTGGCTAATGGGATGTACAGATCAGGTCATAGGATGTACTAAAAATTAATGTGAAATAATAGTGGAATAGTAAATCCCTTTTTCAATGGTTTATCATTTACTATGAGCAGACATTTTGCTCATTGCTTAGAAAATATCAAGCAACCAGAAAAATATCTGCATGTATTTTATGTGAAACCACTGAATAAAGTGGATATATTTAATCATACTCGTACAATTCTTTGAATTAAGGTTAGACCATCAACACCTTTTTGGCCTGTATCCCACACTCAGACTGTTTAGATAAAAATGTTAGCTGTAACCTACCCCAGAGGACATGCCACACTCCTGATTTATAGGGAAGCAAACCTTGAAGTTTTCCATAGAAAGCAAGCAAGTTCAGGTTTAAAACTAAGAGTGCTACAGTGTAGTAATGTTTTTGCTGATGTCTGCTTGGAAGTTTTATTCTGTCTCTATTGTATTTTGCAGAAAGATTGGAGGGAAGATTATAATGGAGTTTTCAAAAAGAAAGTGAAACTGTGTGTACGGAAAAGTCAAGAAGAATGTTGACTTTTGAAGAGTTTTTAGTATGTTATCGCTTCTGGAGACAACTCAAAAATAGATTAGTTATTCCAATATTATCTGTTAAAGTACAAGTTAGCAGTACTTTAACATTACCAGGGTTTTAAATGGCCACATATCTACAAGCACTCTTGCAAGCTCATTATTGCTGTTAAAAAAATTGAAAAATATCTTGAATTTGATAAGAAATTTATGATAAGGCATTAAGTTTGTAACTCTCCTGTAAATTTATTTACCATGGGGTGTGGATCAGAGGTTATGCAGTATTAATGTTTGCATGTACATTGTATCTGTTGCATGTTGATATACATTTTTTCCTGCTCATTGTATATTCATTGTCATGAAGAGGCCAGAACATGTAGCACACCAGCTTGGGACTTGTTTACAGCATATCATGATGCAAACAAGTGATCCATATTCACACCTCCAGACCTATAGTAACAAGATGGTGAAGCTACATGAATAAATAACCCCTAAAATCTTGTATTGATCTAAATTTAAACAATATAATGTTAACTGTGGAATATAATGACATGGGAAGGCTTGATTCCATTCTGCGTCATGTTCACTATTTCATATTTATTTTGTTTTTGCAAGATCAACCTGGCTTTATGTTTAGAAGGATAGAAATTGTGGGGATATATTGAAATTAGATTGAAGCCAAAAATCAAGCAAAAATTTAGGACACTGTTAACAAAAAGAACCTTGACACCAATGACATCTACTACTTGGTGCCCCCTTTTTTACAATCTGTAAAATAACCTTTTTCAAATGTTAATATAATGATCCACAACACAGTTCTTGCAATAAACAAAGAATAGTAGGGCAACTTAACTTAAACTCTTAAACATAATATTGATTTGTTAGCCACTTCTAACAAAAACTTGTAGCCCTTTTGACTTTTCCTACAAGTGATCTGACTATTGCAAAGATATTATATTACAAAATTTGATTAACTTGAATTCAGTTTCAGAATAATACTACAATGTAATTAAAAATAAGTGTTTTTTTTGTAAGGTTGATATGTATATTTTAAATGAAGCTTTATTGTTGTCGTACAAATCCAAGTACTTAGTTATTTACAAGTTTTGTCTGTGCTGTTGTGATTATTATTATTTTTGAATCTGTGGCTGGTTTTCCATAGTGATAGCTCAGCTCAGCTCACATTTTCTTATTTCATATCATTTTTTTTTATTCAATTTGTTTTTGGTATACCATATAAATGACTTTTTTCTGCAAGTTTGATGCATTGCTTAAACTTTCCAGTGAAGTAAAAACTCTTGAGACAGCTTTGCAAAAACTGTTAAAAAAACCCTTCCTTATGTGAAGTCACCAGCTTCACTTTCTATGCTTATCTGAACACAAATTTATGAAATCTGAGTTAAGCTTTCTAGGAGGTGTAACCTGGTCTGCAGGGTGGGTATTCTTGATTTTTAAAACTGCTTCACTTTAATATACTGGTAGTACTCACAACTGTACTGCTCCCATACTCCCTTGATGGAAAAAAGTATTCCTTTAACATACCTACTATGAAACACCATAGACCACTTTCATAAATGGCTGCCGGATTAATATTCTTTTGTTTAAATTTAAGTTAGCCTTTCTGGCCTCGTTCTCTAGTACAAAATTCAAAAGAATACATTATCTCAAGCGAGGCCAGAAAGGCTAATTTCAATTTCAACAAAAGAATATTAATCCGGCAGCCATTTTTGAAAGTGGTCTATTGAAATTGCTTTAACATCTTCATCTTGTATCAGGACCAAAGAAGTGTTGCTTTAAAGCACAGCAACAGATGTACTCTCTTTACTAGTGTAACTGCCAGTAGACTTTATATTAAGGGTGTCCCTTTTCCTTTTCCCTACCTGGTTTTATATGTCAACATTATACCAGTCTTCTTTTAATAAACTCTCATCTAAATATGATTCCTACTTCAACTTGCATCCTTATACTTTCTTTCTTTGCTATTAAGAATAGTCATAATAAGGGCTAACCTTGTAGCCACTTTATTCACAGTATAACTAAGCAGAGATGATTTCTTGTTATATAGTACTGTAAATGGGTTATTGCTATCACTGGTAGAAAACTTACAGTCCATTTACTGATTCCAGGACTACCCAGACAATGAAATATAATTGGAAAGTAGAACAGTAACAACAATTGTCCAACTTTTCAAAACTAGTGGATAGATTGTACAAAATGTCCACATTTGGTATCAGTAAAGGAGCTGTAATAATAGTGTTCAGGTGAGTCTGCACCAGAAACAGCCTAAGCTAGATGGCTGTATATTTGATTTTCTTATGCTGAAATGCAGAGTATGTCTGCCGCACAAATAAAGAAATTTATAGGGAAATGCTGGTTGATGTTTGCTTATAAAGGTAAATGTGTTTTTGTCTGAAATAAGATGTAGGGAAATAAATAACAGATGTAGGGTAACCTACATCAGTATGCATTATTCTCCAAACTTTTCATTATACATTTCCTATGGTGCTTACAAGGAGAATATGTTTAACAATCAGGAGCTTTTTTACTTGGTGCTCATCGACATTTTCTCATGACCTAAGTGTTTGATTCAGGGGTGATAATGTAAGGAGAATTTAGATGTTAGTCACCCTTGGGAGTCAAAGTATACTTCGTTGTAATATTGTTTCTCTTTTCCCTCTGTCAACAAAAACCTCAAAATAAAAACACTGGTTACAGCTATAAAGCTTTTGGAAGATGGTTATATCATGGTAATGCAATACATGTTCAAAATTCATTAAAGCTGGGCAAGGGTTCAAAGGAAAAGCAATGACACACTGAGTTTTTCAAGTTTAAAGCCTTGGTGCATTCTTGGGTCAAGTTTTTGTTGATCAAAGTTACTTGTTCAAGAATAATTGCAGTAAACAATGGGAATTACATAGATTTAGAACTTTTGACAAAAATCTTTAGGCCATAAGGGAATAATTCTTTAAATAATCATATATAAGTATGAGACATCAAAGTGGCAGAAGTAGCTTTTAATTAGCAAATTGATAATGTGAACGAAAGAGAAACAATTGTATGTTTAAAAATATAAGTTTAGGAAATGCACTGTTTGATCAATGATGTTCACTTGTAATTTCTCTTCTTGTCCTATCAACAGGCCAGTGATGACTGAGAGCTGTGTTCATTCATATTAAATTTGAAAGATTAACATTGAAATATTAAATTTTTTCTGCATAATAAAAAGTTTTGCTTTCAATTAGTCACTGTCACTGCCACTGCTGAGGAACAGCACCTTCTTTGGTTGTTTCCTCCTGATAGCAGGAGAGATTTTGACTTTGACAGGACTCTTCTGTTGTAATTTACCTTCTGTTCTAGTTGCATCACTCTGATAGTCAGTTATTTCATGTCTATGTCGTGTCTGATTTTGTGAATGTGGTAGTCTATTAGTAATAACATCCAGGTTATTAAATGATGTACTGGGAGACCTGTGTTGCCTTCTGGTGAATATTGATCGTTTTACTACAGGTTGAGGAGTGGGGTGTACAAATGTAACATCTGAATAATCTTCGTCATCAACAGAGTTGATTTTGCTTTTATCATCATGTGTCATATTGGATGATGGTGTTAAAACAGAAGGGATGGATTCCCGCTGTGGTTTTGGCCTGGAGTGCAACTTGTTGGTCTGTTTGTTCTTGACATGCTTTATTCTTGACACCATGCCATCATGAGCTGCACTTTTAGCTTTTCTTTTATGCCAGTCATTCCTAGAAGTCTTCATTTTCTTTCGTTTGTTGATTTGAGTACTCAAAATCTCATCCTCAGAATCACTGCTACTGTCACACACCTCACTGTTATTTGAGTTATCTTCATTTTTGATGACCTTCTTTCCTTTGCAAGTCCTTTTCCTGCAAGATAAAAATTCAAATAGATTTCAGAATACATAAACAGTTATTAATAGTTATGATAAAAATCCCATGACTTTTCAGGTTTAAGATGATCTGTACAAAGTACAAGAAAGTTATGTCTACATATCAGTTTTTCAAAATTTTGTTCAAAATCATCTTTTTCTTTTAAATGTATCCTTCAGAGTAGTTTTCCCACATTTTAAGTGGAGATGTACTGTAATCAATCTTTGCCTTACTTAGGAGTCCTCAGATTAGTTGACAATGAGGATGAAGGAAGCCGTCCTCCATTTCTTGTGGCCATGCTGATCCAGCCTTCCACAGAATGCTGGCCAGGTTCTCCATGACTTGAAGATGTCCTTTCATTCCCAGTTGTATATGGCTGTTTAATAAAATAAAGTGGAAATACTGACATTTGTTGGCACACTTTCAAAACATAGTAACACCACCTGTTGGCACCCTGCAAAATGTCAAATGCAACATTTGGGCAAGCACTTCAAGGAAAAAAGGATAACTGAAAGCAAAAATGCAATGATAAATCTTCCTTTCCCCTGCATGGTATATTTCGAAGCCAGTTCATCTAAAATAAGTGTACTGAGAATAATACTAGCCACTACTTACAACATACAAAGGTGTCTATTTGGTCCCACTGCCAAAGGTAAGATTATGACAAGCCAGTCAATTGATAAGTGCAGTAAAGTTGCACCCAGTAACATTTCAGGTACAGATAAATGCTTATGATTGACTATCAAGATAACTGGTCTCTAATTATGTCTATTCCCAATTGTTAGAGGAGAAGTTGTGTGAATTTGTTTAAATAGAACTTGTGGGATTTAAAGACTTAAATTGCCATTGGATGTTCACTATTTTGGGAAAACAAACATTGCTATAGTACTGTCCTAACCTGTTTTTCCTTTTTATCACTGCTATGTTTCTGCTTGTGGCCTTTTTGTTTCTTGGGGCTTTTTGCTCTGGACTTCCTTGAGCTTCTTGTTCTCTTGGGACAGCATTCCTTTGCTTTCACCTTGTCAGACTTGCCTTTAGTCCTTGAATTTTTTCCATTATTTCTAAATGGTACCCAGTCACTGTCCAGCTCATCTAACCAAAAAGAAAAAATTAAAGTACAATCAAATCACTAAATAAACATGATAGAAAATGTTTCATGGTCTAATTTTAAATAATGGTTGTCAACAATGGCCAGAAACAAAACAATGCAGCTGCAGCAAAGTAATCCTTATCACCACCCTTTTTAACAAAAGAACAAGTTGCAAATTGATGCGAAAATGATATGGGAAAAGGATCTATCCAAAACTACTGAGACTGAAATATTAAATATTTTTCTTTTACATACATGAAAATATTGCTTTATTGATTCTAATGACTGTAAACTTAGCAATTATTGTTTCTGACACTTAATGGATCAAAAAATAAAGTAATCTCCTCCCTCCACCTGTGGGGGAGAGAAGCTTGTCAAGAGCAGGGGTTTCATTAAGGGCCAGGCACTGAGCAAATTGACCGGTGGTGTGAGGATGGTTTTGCCCACCTGGTTTGACAATGTGGAGGAAAGTTGATCTTATACAGAAGTTCACTTCAAAAAGTTTTGCCCGCCTATGAAAACCAGTTGCCCTCCTAGGCCTGCTGAAAACGAGATCATCTGCCTTACTCTATCTCCAAAAAGGAACCACATTAAACAATGCAGATCCTAACAGTATACAGGATAATTTCTAAATGAATCAACGCGTATGACCTAATTGGCTCATTCATCGCCATAACTTAGTTAAGAGATTGCCTGATGATGACTAAGGTTCTATAACTTGTAGGGATACATTTTTTTTCTGTGTTGTACCCCAAAAGGAAACCTTGATATCTCAAAGGGGAAGCTCTAATAGAGTTAGAGCAGCTTTAGAGGAGGTCAAGCAAAGACAATTTTTCATACTTATTACTTTGGTGTGCACTTACTTTGTGAATCATCATCGCTGACTAGAAAACTTTGGAGACTTGCTTGGGATGAACATGCCTCTTCAATTTCGGGAAAACTTAAGATGTAAACATTATTTTGAAACAGTTAGGTGTACTATGACACATATTTTGATGAAATAAAAATAAAATTACATAAAAGAGTATGGATGGTTAAACAGAAAATCAATCCAGCTTCTTGTCATGGATCTGAAAATTGCCTGATCTGTTTCTTGGGTATATTTGAAAACATTTAATGCATTGTGAACAAAAAGGTTTGAAATGTAATTAACTCCTTCATGAATTTCAAAATAATCTTATGGGTAATTGTAAAAGTATGACAATAATTATTGAGGTCTGACAAAGCTAAATGTTGTGAACTCTTCACCTAACAAGGAACAGCTTTTTGTAGCTCTCAGACAAATATATCACACTTTAATACCTGCTAATAATGTTATTTGTATTTCTTGAAAATCTTGTTCTAAGATTGTGCCTGTTTTGGAACTGATGTGGGCTGGTTCTTTCAGATTCTGTTGATGAACTTGTAACATTGCTCTCTTCAGAATCACTATTATTGGTGGCTTTCAAGGATTTTCTGTCATATACTTCAATCAGGGGCTCGTCATCATCAAAGTCATCATTTATAAAGGAATCTTCCAAGTCATACTCATCAAGATGCAGCTGATGTGAAGTCAACACACTAATTCCTCCTGCATTCTGTATATTAGTATTCATATTAGAGCCACAAATGAAGAGAAATTTAACAAATCTAATAAGCTGGTTCATAAACAGAAATTCTGCTTTATTACCTTAATTTTACATCAGAACTCTCAAAAGTTGAAGTTTAACATTTAAAATGCAACTTTCAGTAATCACTGTTCAAATAAATTTATTTAATTTCATGGCATAACAGATATTGCCAGAGAGAGAAAATTAAATCAGCTCCATCATTTAAAATTTAAAATGTCAACTTCAGGCAATTAGGCGGAAACATCTGTCAAATCAAGCAAATGACAGAATGAAGTATCAATTTCTCTTGAAGGTATCATGTTTACAAACCTGTCGCCTGGATTGTCTTGTCCAAGGGTTATGGAAGTGAGAAGAAGGTTCATAATCATCATCAAAATCATCTGAATCAACTGCCCCAAGAATATCTTCCTCTACTAACTCATCATCATCATTCCAAACTCTTTGATCCTTGTCTCCTATGCGGACCTTCGTTGGTGGAGATCTGAAAGGGCTCAGATGAACCTGAAATGCATTATGAAACATTTTAGTGTGATGCAATTTTTAGCAAATCCTCTTTTTAAGAGTTAACTATGAACAAACCCAAGGATTATGTCTAACTACAGTTGTGGTAACAAAATGGTGTCGGCTAAAACCTCAAAAAAAAAAAGCATTGCTCCTAAAAATTCCAGTATTTTTTTTATAATGAATATATTCACAAGCAAAAGTGGCACTTCTAGCATCTGCTCGCTTCAAAACTCATTTAATATACATAAGCTTTTCGCTTTGGGATTAATTTTCCATCACATTTTAATTGGCAACAAAAAGGAAAGTGTTTAAAAGCATGCGCTTACAACAAGCAACGGCTTTGACCACTAATAATCACGGAAATCTTAAGTCCACGTCAAAGTAAAATACTAAACTTGAGATATTAATGGCTTTTGAAGTAAAACTGACTCAAAGGTATTCCCACTAATTAACTATATGCTCTCATTTCAATCATTCCCTGTGGGTAACACCTGCATCGGCCCACATCTGTTACAGATCTTAAATCGCTTCTTCGACACGTTCGTCATTAGTGTTAACTTATCAGAACAACTACCTCGTTCACACAAGAAACAAAATGCCCTAACAAATTTCCATTACGTGCCGCAAGCTTAATGCGATTTAAAAGATCCGATCGAAAAGCCGTTTGCTCCTGGATCACGATAACTTCACCATTGTGTACAATCTTGATAGAACAAACATTTATTTTTAATCGAATCATGATTCTTGCATGTCCAGTGGTATTACCTTTGTTATGCATCGAAATCGGGCCTTGCATATCGGACAGGTATTTGTATTCTAGAAATAAAAACATACTCGGCATCAGCAAAAGCTTAAATAATTGATTTGCATTTATCCATGAATCCAATAACTCAGATATCATTCTCCGGACATTTCAGAGCATCACAATGAATAAATTTAAAGACCTCTGACCACTCCAGTATGCATGGAAAACAGAACCAGTGATTACAAACGCTTAATTTTCCGCGACAGACAACTTTCTCCAAACAAATTATACAATTAGATGGCTCATCAGTGTGTTTGGAGTCTTCATTTGCAGTTTCCGCGTTTCTCCAGGCCTTCGAAGGACGAGACATCACGTATTATACGAATTTGTCTTTTCAAAATTGCGCGTTTTTCGTGCGAGCAAAATGGCTGGCTATTGCTTTCGTAAATCATCGCTTCTCATTGGTTAATATTCTCGCGCAATTTTAAGCCAATCACAATCTTTGCAGCGAACAGATGTGCGGGCCTGGAACGAGACATTTTTGTTGTTATTACCCGCTGACTCGAGAAACTGCTGGCATTAGAAGGAAACTTTTCTGTGAAAACATGGCTGACATTGGAGCCATGATAGCGACTCCAGGCATCGAAAGTCCGAACAAACGGGCGAAAATGGATAGTGGACTAACAGCAACGAACTTTGATGAATCAAAATTCGCTAGATATTACAGAACAGACACAGTGAGCTCTCCCGTAAGCTCACATTCCGGACCAGTTGTCAGTGATACATCAGCATATTATTCATACCCCTACACGTTTTCGAATTCTTTCTCATCATACACGTATCCTTGTGGACAAACGGACGCAGCAGCTTTGTACACATATCCCGCATCTTATGGCATTCCTTACACCGCACTGAATGGCTTCAGCACAGAATATTCTTCGACGTCAGGTAGCGGTATGCGACTTTCCTTTTAGCTTTTGCGCTTCTGATATCGCTTAATGCGTTACTCGAGAAATCATAAATATTTCAGATGGCGTACTCAGTTTCATCGTAAAAGGAGGGTAATCTGTTTTGTAGCGTCACTTTGGCGGCTGAACATACAGGCCATTAGGCGCAAGAATGAATTCGTGAGAGGAAATCAGCTCTGAATTGTGTTCTTGAGTAAGGGCGTGCACGAGATGGTTTTAATGTTCTTAGGACACTATTACCTTTGAGCGCGTCTGCTTCTCCCAGTCTGTTGTCTTAATATTGTTGTTAAACTTTGAAATTCATCCATTTTTAAATGACTGTCACGATTAGTCAATAAACTATGAATGCTGTACCGCTTGGGCTGGGAAACAAGCAAAAGCTTGCTCTCGCACCCGCCGCAGTCGAACCTTTAGCGGTGCGTGTGTCATTCGTGAGGAAATGTCACTATTGAAGGCTGTTACTGTGCCTTGTCATTTATTACGGACTCAATGGCTAGGCTATGTCTGGTACGGCTTTTCTTGAGAGGATGAAAGAAGGATATATTTCACTGATACGTGGATTGAAAACCAGCTGTACAACGAATCGTGGAATGGGTCTGTTTATTTTCTAATAATCTGCTTTTGTCAAAAGAAATCGCCGGTCGCCTGATGTGCGAATTGTACACGGTACACTTCTTTAGCCCAGTTGATATGAATGGAAATGATAATGAGCGAGCTTTAAGGCAATATCGTGTTTACTTTCATGCAGGAGTCGTGCAGGCTTTTCTCGCTGTGTAATCGGGGTTTTTAATCTACTAGTAGAAATTTACGGGCCGCTGTTCTGGCTCGTAACCCCTGTAACTCTACCTTTTTCTAAGACGCATATCATTGATAACCGTTATTTTTCTCTATTGACGATGGTGTTTCCTTTCTTGTTACTTTGATTAGAATATAAAAGAAATCCACTTCTTTAGCCATTGAACGCAATTATTGCTCGAGCAGATAATTGTTGGCACTTGTGTTGTCGTTTCCAACTCCGTCGAAGACAACAGCTAAAGCGTGAAATTATTGGCTAACTATGTCCGGTTAGAAATAATAAAACTCTTTCATCCACATCGACGAGTATATATTTAGAATATGGGCCCGGAATGTGCATGTACTTGACTTCATGAATATGGAAATTATTCAAATCGCGAATGGAAAGAGATTTACTATAATGTCAGTTGTCTTCGCTTCTGTTATGGCTCCAAAATACCACATCAATATAAATTGACTTTGATTAGAGACTTTATAAAAATCTATCCTGTCTGTGTGTGAAATGGTTGATTCTCCCTTGCTTAAAAAAAAATCAAATAAAAAAAATCAAAATTCAGCAGTTAAGGAAAGTTTTCAGTTTTTGTCTTATAAAGAATTATTAGAATGTTTTATTTTTACCTTGAATGACTTCTAGAAATCAAAACATGCATAAGTATTCTTGAAATGGTTTTGTTAATTAAGGACTCTGCGATGAGATAAGGGGAAATATTGGGCACTTCCCCAGAGAACCAAGATGTTGTGTCTTGTTTCTCTCTAAGAATGTCTCTTTTTGGTGTTTCAATCAGGTTTTTCAATCAGGCCTTTCCTAATCCCGATTTCATTTTCTGTTTTGTGTTTTCTTTTTTTTGTGATGAACTGGTAGGCACCTTTAGTTGGTAACAGCAGATAGCATAGAGGTACATATGTTTTAGTCAGGTAATATTTCCTAATATTTAATCCCCAATATAGTTTTGACCACAAGGAATGCAATCTGGAAACAATGTTGTATTGAAATAAGTAGGGAAGACTTCCTTTTAAGATAATGTATAATCAAGCTAGGGGCAAACTCTACTGTAGTCATTCAGTCCAAGAATTGCTTGCTGTGAGTAGGATGCTGGGACAAATGGCATTACACAAACATCAGAATCCTTCAACCAATGGAAAGTCTGTTTATTTCAGACTGTTGTAAATTTGCATTTGTCTCAGACTCTCATTTGTTCAGAAATTTTGTTTGCTTATACTTCTAACATAGAAAATCAATATTCTGTCATTCAGAAGGATCTATTAGGTAAACTTAAAAATGCAGTGGTTCTCTCAGTAATTATAGCCCCCCTAGTTAGAAATAGTGAACAAGAGAAACTGAAATTATACACATTTGTCATGGCCAACACTTAAATGGCCTTTAACTCTTCCAACTTATTCAAAACCAATATTTTGGTTATGAACAGCAATAAAATTTGTGACAGTCCATTCATTATGTAGTATTTTACTTGGGAAGTTGGCTCCTTTAGTGAATAGTGCAGGTGTTACTAATTTTGCTCAATTATTTTTATCACACTTTTTTTGTATACCATCCAGCCATTAGTTTGAATCTCTTTTAGTCTGTTACATAATGAAGAACATGTTTAAGGGAAATGTACATTCTATATTTGCCACAAATCTGGTAGAATTATCAATTCTGTGCATAATTTTATCATTATTATTTTCATCTCTCATACCTAGTATATAATTTTTATGAAAGACCTGCAGAACTTTTCATAAAAAATTATTTTTAATACGTAATCAATGTTACTGACATGTATCTGAATTCTAAATTAAAGGAAGCTATATGTCACTAGATTTTGTGCTAAACACTTTGCAAATGTGCCAGTTAAAAAAATAATAATTGCAAGTTATGTCTTGATTTTGCTTCAAGACATATCACTGTTTAGACAAAACTTTGGCTGTAGAAATTGCTTTTTAGGCAGATGTTTCTGAAGGGATGGTTTGATTTGTAGCTCTCTGATTGTTCACGCGCCCATTCAACTTTCACTTACTGAATAAAAATGAATACTTAGTGTTTGTATACTTAAGTGCTGAATGCTTGCCTCAGGCGGGAAAATGTTTTTTAAGCAAAAGTGGATTTTTCCTTTAGTGTATACAGTGCTTAAATTTTAATGTTCTTGAGTTGCCTGCAGAGAAACTAGATGCTATGTACAGCTGTAGGCTTGTTGTGGTGGATTTTTGCTGAAATTGCAGTGCAAGTCCTTAGCTATGAATATTATTGAAACCAGAAATAGGTTTAATTACCAAATCCTGTTATTCAGAAATGTTGTTGACTATTTCTTAGCTAAAAAAAGCCTAATGCTCAGCCTTCTTTTCAGAAATAACAAATTGTTAATAAATATGTCTTGCTCTTGATCACTGCAAAGACTTTCACTTCTCCCTGCACTGGTTACATGTTCGTTACAGATTTGTGTGGATATGTTCACAGTATATTTAAATGTGGCAGGCAAGATCTGCATCTATTTAGTTTTTTATGGTTTGAGCTCTTGAGTTCATAATTAATTATTGCACTCATTTCTTTTTCAGACTATTCATTATCTCCAAGCTCATCTGTTTCTGCGCTGACATCAACTTCAAGTCTCAATATTCCACAATCATTGACACTAAATTCTACTGCACATCACAATACACCTCCTTCTCGTGTTATTCACTGTAGAGCAGTTGCTGATGGTTGTAAAGAAACAGACTTGATAAATGTTCTTCAGCCATTTGGGAAAATTACGTAAGTATGAATCAAATGTTTGATCCACTAGATGTTCTTTTTATACCTGGATTTTCCAACAGTGAATTATTTTCATGGTACAGAAATGTTTCAAATTGATGATATGATAAAAATTACTTTTTGGCAATTTTATATTTGAGTGTATTTGAATCATGGTTTGTTATAAATGTTTACTCAAAGTTTGAGTCGTACTCCACAGAATATTTTTGCTTTTCACCTACCTGTAGGAGGTAGATTTTTTCAATGAATGAGAGGTCATTGAATCTGTTCTTAATTTATTTTTTACTGAATGATGATTCTTGAATTTCTTGCCTTGCAAAACATATGTCTCGTCCCTTTGATTGCACAATAATTTTCCTGATGTTGCATAGATATCACCTTAACATTCTAAATTTAGCTTTCAATAGAGGTTACATTGTTGTTTTCAAGTGAGGCTTCATACTCATTCATATGTTTTGTAGCAAAAATGTCTGATTTTTTGTTGATGTATGGAATTTTCAGGAATGGGAGGTCTTGTGCTATAGAGCCATTTATGATGGGGTGGGGAGAGGGGGTAGGGATATTTATATTTCTTATACCCGATGATGCTGTGTACTGGGCAGCGCTCAACAAATGAACTGATCAAAACAGTGTAGTTTTGGGTCTCACTTGAATAAATTTTTTAATAAATAATTACAGTTAAGCACTTTTTATTACTGGGAAGCATCTAATTTGTCACCAGTGGAAAGAAAATGTAGATTTTGATATCAGTTTGGGGCTGAAAAATGAAACAGGTCTGAACTGAAAGGGAAAAAAGGTTCAAAGATCAGACATAAAACACTCTTCGGAAAAAAATTCATTCACGTCTTCAGAAATGCATTGGACTGATTAGTTCTGAAAAGTAATTTTACATGTAACTTCCCCTTACATTGTAAATGAATTGTCCAGCAAAAAGGGATGAGTATGGATAAATTAATCATCAAGTTTTCTAATGAAGATGTAGTACCAAATTCTCATGACTAAAATACAAGGAAATGTGTTAAATTTAGACTGGAGAATTGCTGATAAGGGATAAGATCTTTGAAGTTAAAGGGTCAAAGATTACTCATTCTCTGGGTAAATGTTAAAAGTAAAATTTATTATTATAATAGCAGTGCAGCCTGAAAGAGTTTTCAGGTTTATTATATAATAGTGCTTATTATGAATAGATATTCTTTGAAAAAGGTGTGTTTTGTGATCAAATCTACTACCAAACTAAACGAAATTTTGCAAAATCCGGAAATTCCTCATCCAAGGCTTTAAAATGGCAGGGGTTGGTTCACTTTGTGAACATTAATTTTTAACACAGCATGGTCCTTATTATGGACCAAAATACCAATTTTCTGGACTTTGCTAAAATGAGAACTCAAATCACTTCTAAAAGTATATTTTGTTGCTACTCTTCAGACTTCTGTCTCAACATATAGCGCACGTAACATCCATTTTGTGCCAGATGAGTTTTTGAAATGGCACCAAATTGTCTTTGAGAAAGTATTATGCTTTAATTGTCATATCAGCGTGAGCCTCAAGGTAAATATGAGTTTTTCTTTATGTTAATTGCATGAAAAATGCAAAACTCTTCTGTTATGCCTTAATCTTCCAAAGTTGCTTCCCCTCTGCCTGTTCATTCCATGGCATAGAGCTATACTCTGAGTATAATGAAAGTTTTGCTAAAAAATATAGCAGCTAAAGGATAATCTAGAAAGCTTTTAAAGTGGTATTGGTCTTTCTGAAAGCTTTTTGTATTAGTCATAGATTCAAAATAGCAATCTTGAAATTGGAATGAGTCAACATTTTCAGCTATTAGCCAAGAATAAAAATGCTGGCATTTCTCCAAGAAAGGCCTTAACCACTCCTTGAGCTCCTCAAATAAGTTCAGTCACACCTCCAAGATTTGATTGTATACAGCTGTCTGTTCCAGTGCTAGCTGTTTTTTTTTTTTCTGCAATTTAAGTTCATCTTAATCTTTTAAATACCTAAAATTGTCTGAAAATTGCGTGAGACTTGTGACAGATCCTAATGGTTTTCTTATTACCCTGCCTCTCTGGGGATTAAAAACAGATCATTATCTCACTGTCAAGCCAGTATTTGCTTCCACAAGATTATTGTTGGAATATCATCAATGGATTTTGGTCAACTGAAAAGGGATCAAATATTTTCAAAATACAACTGCAATTTCAAACTTTTTGGTGTTAATGCAAGACACTTCCAGAATCTCAGTACATATGTGTGTTTGCTTTTTTCCCACACTAGGGCAGCTCTTTTTGTTCCAAAAGCTTGAGTGTCAATCATCACAAAAAGTATAGCAGACTAAGTACTTTGATATTTGTTCTTCTGACCTTTGATATCAACAGAATATTATTGTAAGTGGCCATACTGACCCACAGAAAATTTAGTAGCTATATCTCATTTTTTATTTGTCAGGTTTTATATGGCTGCAATACTTAAATCTGCTAGAACTTTTGTAATATGTGAACTTTTGTTCATTCAACATATTATAGTTTGTGAATTCAGTAACAGAATCTGACATGCAGATGTTGTGTTGATTATAAGATAAAATGCATATGTCATGTATTTTTTCATTTGCATGTAAAAGGTCATGCCACTCCTTTACATACATCTGTATATTTAGACTGATGAATATTTTTTGCCACCATCAGGGTTGTAAACACAATGATTTAAAGAGTATTAAGCAATTAGATTCTTTAAGCAGCCTTTATTTTCCTCATGGTGGCAATTTTAGGGGTGGTATTCGAGTATTTGTCTTGTTCTTCATGCCTTTTTCAAGTACACTTTTGTACTATAATAGTGTAACATAATGCATGACACTGAAAGTAAATACATAGTAGACATACTGTAGCCACTGCTGTTCTCTGATGTGATGTAAGCTAAGAAGTTCAATTGTCTATTTATTTTTAAATTGATGTTTTAAATAGTCAACCTATCCCAATTAGGAAAAAATTGTTCGGTGTAAAGATATTACATTGTTCTCTGCTGTTGACCTCAGATGTTGTGCTCAAACAGTCGGTTTCATTGTCTTTCATCTCAACCGGAAACCATAAGGTGCTAGTGGGAATGAGAGAATTGCTGATGCCTTGGAGAATGTCACCTTTTAGGGGTGGGTAAAATAATCTCCAAGTTATATTTGATTAGCTGAAAGTGCCAGAATCTTCCTCCCTTAACAACAGATCTACCGTATGATGAGAATTGCCAAACTTCATGTTTTCGTTACTTTGTTCTTCCATATGTAGCTTCTCTTTGTTTGCAGTTTAAGTGTGTTCTTTTTTCTCACCCAAGAATATGTTCTGAGAATAAAGCACCAGTGGACTTGGTTGGTAGTCTGACATTGGGGCCATAATGTTTTTTTCACAAACTGAGAGTATGAGCTGGTGAACCTATGTGTTATGTGCACATACTGTTTACAAATTTTGGTCAAAGATCAAATTCTATTTTTGCTGCAATTTTTGGTGTTGATGTAAGATCCTGCTTGATTTAAAAGTATTAGTACAGGATTATTTTGTGTCTGAAATTGGTTGTTTGTTGTTAATGAGAAATTTCCGCTTGGGCGCCAGTTCAAAAGCTTAGTAATTAGCAACTGTGATTAATCGCATTGTATAGGAGTCTCCTGCTGTAAAGATTGCTTATTATGTGCAATTAAGCATAAAGTCCAAGGATTCCACAGTAACAATATTTATTTTTTCTGTAACTGTTTTGTAACCATTCTCAAGAAATGGCAGAGAAGAAGAATGCTTCATACTGACATATTTAGCATGTCCTGGACTCAATTTACACAGTAGAAGGAAAATAGTTTCCATGTCTGAATGAATAATAACTCTACACACTGAAATTTAGAGATTTAATTTTGTGAATTAGCAGGTGGAGAATTACTGGATCTCCACTGCCCATTAGGAACACCTTGCCTTACTGTCAAAATTACAACTTGCATTATTAGCCTCGTCCCTCTATTAGTACAGGAGTTTCAATAAAAGCTGCATGTTTGCAGTCAACTTCCCTACAAGACCCACTTGAAAAATTTTTAATTTGGTACTTCCTAACTTCATAACTGACATAACTGGAATTTTTTCCCACGAAAATTTTGGAGGTGAAGGATTCATTCAAATAATAGTTTTAAGTGACTGCCTGTCGCAACTTGCTTTTGATCATTACTGTCAGGTGTAAAAAGTTTTACCCTGAATGTCCCTAAAACAGTTTTCCTTTGTGAAAAAGGCTGAATCCCTTTACAGCATGTATTGTGCAACCCACCCCCCCCCTAGCATAATGGTCTACTTTATTTTCATCACATTTTGTTTGGGGGGGGCATGGTATCTGAACAATTATTGGTGTGAACTCTGCTCTGAAGACAACATACGCCATAGATATAATAACAGGAAAGGTTACTTTATCCTTTGGGTAGATGGCACCATCTACTTGGAATGGAGTGGCTGTATGTTCTTGACAAAAGGCAGGGGATTGCTTACAAATTACAAGGGGTACATCCAGGGTATAAATGAGCCTTGTGAAGATATTTTTAGTCACTCTGAGTTATCTTTAATGGTGTTATATTTATTCAGCTAAGTGTCACCCCAATATAACTACTGGGGTGATGCTATTAATAATCCATACATCAGGAAAGTGGGTTTGGGAGAATTTTAGGAACATTGTGGGGCAAGGTTGCCAAAGAGATATGAGTAAACCATGAAAGAACTGGTATCATGTCTTCTCTAAATGATACTCTCATCTCCAGAGGTGTGTATCTCAACTATGACAGCCTCTTTCTCCTAACTTATGCATTACAAGCAGATTGTGTTTGGTCATGAACTTGACAGTTGGCTTCAGAATTTCTTGTAAAAGTTGAATATAATGTCAACAGTTTTTTTCCTCTCCAGTCTCCTTTTAAGAGGAGACTTTTGGTTCTTGAGCCAGGAATCTTTTCTCAAGAGATGCATATGTATGCTACTTTCTCAGGACATGATTCACCCACAAGATTGATTCGTAACTAATTTTGTGGAACATTTTATCTTCCCATGAATTCCCACAAGATTTCTTTTTTCTTCATAAAAAGAAAAACTTTTAGGGTGAGAGCCTTACAGAGGGCATGTTAGTTTGAAACTGGAGTCAGCAATCATTTGGTCAAAAGTAGTGGATTGTAATTAACCAAAAATCTTAACTGAAACTAAAATGGCATGATTGAGAAAATTTCATTTTGATTTTTAAATTTATTTCTGTTGAATAATCTCAATGTTGCCTTCCATATAACAATTCCAATCTTCATCATTGGCTTACATACCACAGGTAAGTAAAACTTCCTGTGGTCCATGATGTCCAGGTTTTTGAAATGTTGGTCTTAGGCCAGGGGTGGTGGGAGCCTTAGGAGTGGTATGGCTGTTGAAGTTGAGTGACTTTGTAGTGATAAAGGGTAGGAGAAAAGGTGCCTATTTTCTTGACATCTGAGATGATGTTTGGGAATTCTCCTTCCTTACTACTTTAAATGTACTTGCTTTTAAGGTTGGAGAATTTGGTGACAGTGGTATCACTAGTCAGTAATGTTATTCTTTGCTTGCTGATACATTCACGTCAGTAACTAAAGGGAAATTTACATGCACCCTTAACCTCATCCCTTAACCATATTTAATAACATCCAAGAATTTCTCTATAGTGCTCACAAGCTTTTTGTTAATTTTTTTTCATGCATTACATTATCTGGTGACACATATCATCTGACAATGCCTGTTTTTCTTTTTCTATACAGATATGTGACTTTATTGCCAAAAATTAGACAAGCACTGGTGGAATTTGAAGTAAGTTGGCAATGCCAAGTAATGGGTAATTTAGAACTTTATTTAAGGCCTAAGACACTAGGGTTTCCCCTTACCTCCTAAGGTAATGCTGCATTGCATTAAAGAAGTGTAAGTGCGACAAGTTAAATATTTATACTTATTCTGCATATTTGTTGAGAATTTCATTTAAAATACAAATGAGCAGCAAATTATTTAAAATGCAAATGAAACCTTCTTTAGCTTGTGCAAATGAAACAAATTACCAATTTGGCATAAAAAGCGACAGCACTGTTGCCAAAATGGGAAACTGAAATCTTCGATGTCTAGTATTGGTTGTGAAACGGCTGAACTTGCGATAAAAATAATTGTGTGCATGGAACTTCCAAAGGTGGGACTGATAAATAGGTATTATCTTAAAGAGCAATTGTTTGCAAGTCCAAAAAACAATACTGGTATGCCAGCTTTAAAAGTGAAGATATCTAAGAAATGCAGATTAAGCAGTGTGTTATGTAGATATGATGATGGGAAATTTTTTCCATATTTTGACTTCCTCTTGATGGAAAAATAGGGATGTGGTTCGAAATGTTTGCATTTGTTTTTCATTAGTTATTGGCAGCTGACATGTTCCTGGTCTAAGATGTATTTTAAATTTAATTTTTATTTCTTCAAAATTCATGCAAAATTTAGGAAATTAACAGTGAACATCATTTGAGGCAGATTTATTTCTGTTATGAATTTCCATTCTTGTGAAAATCAGAGTAGAACATGTAAGAGGGCAAAACTAAGTTTATTCCAGTATGACTACAGTCTACGTAGTAAACATAATTCAAACAATAACAAAAGAAGTTTTCATATTTACTCCATTTTGAGCCACTTGCTCTTGCATCTAATTATGTTCCCTGATGTCTAAGAAATTGCATGACCAAAACTGGCTTCCTGTTTATGACAAATACACCACACCTTGTAATTAAGCAGTTCGGAGAAAACACAGGTAGGTATGTACCTACACTTGCTGAATTTGAAATGCTGGCATGTACAATGTACATGTCTGGCACTAACCCAAGGATACCAGTGTAGAAATCTTAATACCTGTCAAGAGATATTTATTTTATAAGCAGTCACTCCTCGGCTTGTTATAACGTTCGTCTTTCATATCACTCGGCATCAAAAGAAGCACTGAGAAGTGGTAATCAATTCTATGGTCAAGTTTATTTCTAGGTTTATTTTACAAGGAAAAAAAGAAGCATTTTTCCTACTTGTTTGGTTAAAATTCGAATAAATCTATTGTGGGTTGAAAAATTATTTTTGGTTGAAAATTTTTCAAACCAGTTTGATTTTGCTCTCTTTCATTTGAAATTGTGATAATGAATTGAATTCATTTGGTTTGAACCACAAAATATATGCTTCATTGCCTAAATTTATAGAGTTAGTGTGTGAGATTTAGGTAAGAGATGTTTTTGTAAAAAGTTTCCTGTAATAACTTGTTTCAAATATTTGTATTAAATAATTATTTTCACAGGATATTGATTCTGCTGTAGCTCTAGTTTCATTTTCACAGGTAAGATGTATGTGCTTGTGTACATTTTCAAGGAGGCAATTTAACAACATGCAGCAATTTCTTTAGAATACATCATTAGTTGTGTTTCTATCATGTTAACTTTAGTAAGATACCCCAGGTTGATGCATGCAAAGAGACAATTCCATGCTATATTCCATGTAGCTCAATTTGGCAGTTCAAAGAAAAAGACACCTATAACTGGGAAGGACTTCTTTGACAGATTTACTAAAAATTAGGCTGAGATATTGTACAAGATGTAGGGAACAAGTTTCTGCCAACTGACAGGAGTGTGTCAATTGAGTGTTAAAGAAAGGAGTTGCTTGCAAGGATTATGCTTCTCCCTGTGTTTGTGGGTGATTGTTGCCAAATACATTTTGTGTAAACCATAATAATTTTCAGTATGAATATTTCTTTCTTGTACAGTCAAGTACTCTCACTGTACTTGGTAGACAAATGTTTGTGAATTACTCCAAAAGTCAAGAAATAAAAAGGTAAATGGGTATTTTTTCAATTATTGCAATCAATAACATTTAATATATAAAAGGGATATCAGAGAATCACAGGCTACATTCTATCCAAAACATGCAACCAAAACACAGGAAAGGAAGTCGGCACCTTTCCCTTGTTGACCAAGTGGTCTCTTGTACTCTCAGTTTTTAATTTGTTACTTTTTCTCATGGATAACAGAAGGCAAAGTGGCTGATATTGACAGATTTGGTGGCTTAATGCTTTGGGTGGTGGCTTAGTCTAGTTGTGTTTTTGGACAAGACACTTTACTCCATCTGTGCCTCTCTCCACTCATGGGTGCAAATAGGTACTGGTGAACCATCAGGGAAGCCTGTTGAAATGTTAGGGGGAAGGGGGGAGGGGAGGGGAGGGAGGATGGTAACCTGGGAGGGAAATGTATTTCATCCAGTGGCAATAGCAATACTCCTTGTTACCTACTCCATGTAAAAATGTGGATGAGCCATATGCAGACCCCTCCCTTTTTTTTATACTGTGGCTGAATGGTTAGGTTGGGCTTTGGCTTCCAACCTTAGATTGAGAGGTGTGGGTGTGGTCTGAAGCTACAGCTCTAGTGTTTGGTTTTTTTTTGATACTTTCTAAATACTACTCAAACTGTGGCTAGCCTTGCCAACTGTGTGTGCATACCCTGCCTGTGACTTATCAGGAACCTTTTGTCATTTTACAGGGATAAAGTTCTTAATGGTGAAAGTAATGGAGCCTCTTCAGAAGCTAGTAATATTCTTCTTCTCACAATAATCAATCCCTTACATGCAATCACAGTGGTAAGTATAATAAAAATCCAAAGAAAAAAAATTGAAGTTCCCAAAGTCACTTAAATTCAAAAATTTTACTTTTGCAAGAGAATGATTTGACTTTTAGAATGTGTTGGTATCACTAACCTTAAGTTTGTGTGTATGTGATCACTGTCTCAAATGCCTGGTAAATATTACTTACGTCTATTATTAAAAATAAAACTGCCCCCTCCTGAGCATGAGGGAAGATAAATTTCAATTCGCTCTTATTTCATGGACTTTGTATATACTGCCATACAAGAGGAAACTGAATTGCGTAGACTACTTGTCTTCATATTAACATAGTCAAGCAAGAAAGTGTTTCATACAAATTACTTTTTAACAGGCAAAAATGTGCTCCAAATTAACCTTCCTAGCCTTTCAGGCTGGTAAGGTGATATTCCTTCAGTAATGGGATCTTCAGAATTAGAAACTTTTTTAAGGCACTTTCATGTGTGAGCTCATAAACACCTAGACAATTGGCAATCTCTGAAGGCTAATAGTTTCATATTTCAAGTAGTCGAGAGGAGAAGATAAAGATTTCATGGACTGTAGTCTGTCAAACTCATGTAGCATGGTTGTAACTTCATAGGTCTTTGGAATAAAATTGAATTTCACCAATTATGTCAGTATACTTAAAACAATAGAATTCATGGAAACAAAAAGTTTGAATTTTGTTACAAATGGAAGCTACACTGAGTACAATATAACCATCCAATTTTTGTCATTTTTACATGAAACACCCAAAGAAGGTAAAGCAGCTTTGAGTCTCTGTCTTTCTCCTCGAAGAGATAGTGAGATGGGATTTTCTTCAACTGGCATCTGGAATAGACTTGAATTCATGGAACGCACAGTTGATTTTCGTGGTTCCAAATTTCTTCCCTCACTGACGATGAACAGAATTGATTCCAATTCATCAATAATTGATCTAGCACATTTAATTAAAATTCTCATTGACAGATGGTGGTCATTTGAATAATTAAATCTGTTTACTAGGTATTTTAATCATAATACCTCTAGTTATCACAGGTTTTATGATGAAAACACCTTGAGCAAAATAGTTTGAATTAATTTCTTCCACAAGAAAGCGTCTGTGTAAGTTTTCTCAGTGTGAGGTTCAACAGTGACAAGCGTATTTTTTTTCTAATTATATTTCTAACTGTTCATTGCAACAACAAAAAGTGTGCAGCTTTGAAGAATGACACAAATGATTTGCCTTTCATGAGTGTTTGTGGATTGCAGTTAAATTTGGAATTATTGTAATGAGATTTTTGACAAAGACTTCCCATGACAATTCCAAGACAGATTTATATCTTATCGGAACTGGCCTAGTGGAAATGAATCCTTTAATATTATTATATTTTTTTCATAATCCAGGCAAAAGATTTTCTGATCAAAGTTAACAATAAGTTAATTAAATTGAACACAGATTTGAAGAATTATCTTTATCAAAGAAACCTTTGTGTGAAATTATTAGATATTTTTTTTCATGCCCTACAGAAAAGCAATTTAAAAACTTCTCCAATCAGTGCTCTAGGAATGCTAGACATTCCTCAGATTATGACCCATGGAAACAAAACTTGCAGAAGTTTTTATATCTGATTAGCTGTTGAACTTTTATCAAACATGACGTAGAGAATATCCAAGGTGATAACTTGACAGGGCCAGAAAATGTTAATGAGATGTTAGTGTTCTAATAGATTTTTGAAGATGGAGGTACATGCTTGAAAAGCAAATTATATTCAAAATGATTTCCATATTTTCAGAAGTTAAGAAGATTTCTATTTATCATAATTATTTAATTTTTTTCTCAAAGCTGGTAGAGTTTTTTTTATATATTATTGTTTTTCAGAAGTTGAAACAACATTTTCACAAGCATAGCATATGTTAGGGTGATCTTTTTATTGTTCTGTTACAAAAATACTGGTGGCAGCAAGTTAGCTTAGAGACACTCCATCACACAAAAACTCCCCTTGTTCAGTTTCTCTTAAATGACATTAAATTTAAGGAAATGAACGATCCACTTTTCAGATGTGACATACTGCCTGACAGCTGCCAGCTGATTGATGGATTTTTTAACAAAATTTTTGCTCCTTCATTTTTTGTTTTTAGAAAGTACTTCACAAAATATGCAGCCCTCATGGAAAAGTTTTAAGAATTGTGATCTTTCACAAGAACGGATTGCAAGCTTTGGTTGAATATCCTTTGAAGAGGAAGTTGTTTTATGTAAAGGAAAAAAAATCTTCCTAAACTTCCCAATAAAGGGGCTGCATTAAAGAGTGGCTGACAAGGCAAAGTGTTGCTCTCTAAGTGTTTTAGGAGGGAGAAATTTCACCATTATTGATAGTGACCCATTTCTTTACACCCATTATTACACCCATTTCTTTTGGTTCTTACGTATGATCCATTATGAGATTTTTCACTTCTTTATTATTTAAAACAAGTTTATTATCTGTTGTATGGTGCATCTGTTCAATAACAGATCACAGGATAAGCCCTGCTCAGCAAAACTATGGTTTCTGCACTATGACTGAGCACACTGAGTGCTGTTGAAGTGATTTTGCGGGTTAGAATGCTGTTGTGCAGCCAAATTGATAGAACAGATGGAAAAAAATCTCCCTTGTGGAGGATAAGTGAGGTGATGGCTTGTTATGCGAAGGCACTACAATGTTGTATGTATTTGTTAAATGAACAGTCTTTCCTTGACCATTTACACATTTGACAATGTTGAGGCAGCTCAGCGAGCTCTTGCAACTCTCAATGGACAAGATATTTATGCTGGATGCTGTACACTGAAGATTGATTATTCAAAGGTAATTAGATTTGGGTCCTGGGTCCTTCAGGGCAGTTCGTCTAATCTCATTGTACATCCATGAGTCATGTAAGAAAATAAAACCAACTGTTTTTCTGAAATGGATTCTCAGTCAGTTCAAATGATGCAAGGATGGCTTGGGTAAACTGGATAAGAAATTTTCAAAAACCATTGTTCAGGCTTTTCATGCCAACGTTTTATTGTGGAATTTGCACGTGCTAGATGAAGACAACTTTCTTTGATGACACCTATGATCTTTTTCGTTTCTCAACAGAAAGCTAAAAAATTAAACGTTTTTAAAAATGATGATGAAACATGGGATTACACTGGGACACTGAACAATAACTCAGGTTTGCAGAACTTTAACTTTTGGCCTGTATCCTGAATCTACTTCTCTAAGAACCCAAATGGTTGTAAGATTTTAACTTAGACAAGTACTCAACAGGTAATGCCTTGCAGAGAGATCTACTTGACCCATGTAAATCATTTTCCAGCAAGCAGCTGCTTCCTTAAGGATCTTGTAACAGTAAATTTAGAAGTGAACACAATTAATAGGCAAACAACGGTAGAACTTCATACAAAGACAAGTTATAGAAAATTTGCCACGACTGGTATGGATAATTTTTTTTCCTTCTTTGTTCTTTGAAAATAATTTTTCCTGGAAAGAAGAAGCACAAGTTCAGAAAGGATATGTACAGCATGTTCTGTTGCAGTGGCTTAATGCTTAGTGTGGTCACCTTATTACAAGCACACATTTTTATTTGAAATGATTGGTAGGATAAGAAATGATTTAAAATTGTTCCAATAACTGCTGATCAGATAGAGGGAAAGGATTTTCATTCACTCTGATACTGACGTACTATTTTTCTGCACTTACAAGGGATCCCAAGCAAGACAGCTCTTTTGGGGTCCGGGCTCTTATCTGCAATTTCAGGTAAGCACTGGTAACTGCATTCAAGAAAGGAGGGAAAAGGGAAATGTTGAGTTGAAAGGAAATCTTGGGATGAAAAGGAGAAAAGGATATTCTTTTACCTGTTTTTATGACTGCCCTTGTTGTAGCATGGTAAGACTGTGGACCAGAACACTGTTCATAAGGAAGGGGTTATTAAATGGTGACAGGGATGGGCCCTCCCCTGTTTAAGTACACAGCTTACATCATGGTTTTGCCCACCTGTGGTAATTATGATAACAGGCATCATTTTTCGATACCAACAAACATGCCAACAAAATATGCATAGGTGCAATTTGTCTTTAATAAATTGATAAGCTTCTGGTACCTGAATCTCTTAGTTTTAAATTGAAAATTTCACTCATTTTATGATTCCAGGAAATGATGCGAGTGAGCCGCAGTTGTCAAGTTCACCACCAAACACAGTCACCCTTAATGGTAATGCGACTGACTAACTAATAATTGTACACGTGTCATATGTCTTGTTAAGTGGTTTGCTAGTATATCAGGGTTCTCACAGTCTTGCAAATGTCAAAAAATTATAATTCAATATTTCAATTTCCTGGCCTTAATAAAAGACATGTTACTGGGTCATGGATTCAAGTCATGGAATATGATATCAATATGATTTTAAGGGAAAAAGTGAGAGAAACAGTATATGTACATCATACTCAGTGGTCTCTTGTTATTTAATTTCTCTGTTAGGTGTGAATGGATCTCCAATTTCCATCAGTAATGAGGCCATCGCGAGAGCAGCACAGTTTCCTACTGTACAGAGTGAGATTCATTCATTCATTTTATATGCCATTACCAAAAAAAAAAAAATTAAATGAATACAAAATGTAGGTTACCTCAAAGATAAAAAGAACTATTCTAACTAAATTAACTTCAAAATCAAAGGAACTGAAGAGGTAACAGCAAGGAAGCCTATTAGAAGCCAGGGGCTTATAAAGTATAGGCTTCCTTAAACTATAGGATAAACCATAGAAATCAAAGGTGCTGAATGAAAATTTAGATTAAGTTAAAAAAAAAAGAAAAGAAAAAAAAAAGAAAAGGTGTGTAGCTTGACAAAGAATATATTTAACTAAGAAAGAAGAATTTTTTTAAGCCTTTTGCTAAACAGATTGATTTAGTTATATTTTATTATTAGTTGCATATTTTGATAGAGTAATTAAAACACTCCTCACAGTGGAACAATGGTTAAGGAATTTTGGCATGTCTCAGTAGAGCATCTAAAACAATGCTGCCCAAATGTCTCAAGTAATTCCTGGGTGGTCTGTGTACCCTTCTTTACCCAAACGCAGACTTGTATTTTTTATTCTGTTTCAATACAATTTTATGCGTCATTAAAAGCTCTTTGAAATGTGTCGACAGAGCATCCTTAAATCCATACCTCTAATTCTAAAAGAATCTTCTTAGCAGTCATTTTGGTGTATGCTCTTCTGTCTCTGAGGTAAATTGACAGATACTGTTACATATTTACTACAGTTAGGAACTTCGTCAACAAAAGAGGCAACTCACTGAAATTAACTGTCTTCTCATTTCTTAGGTATTCTAGCCAAAGTTGCATCTTTTCATGGGAACCCGCCTAAGAGTCCAACGTCAGGTATGAAGATAGCAGACAGCATTTTTTCACGCGAATCTTTTCTTATTATTGTTATAGCGTAGTCTCAATTAAAACAACCGAATACGAAGATTGATGGGAGTAAAAGGATTACCATTAAAGGGTGCTCAGAATAAAACGACATCTAGATAATGATGATTTAAATGTTACCTTTCCTTCTCCATATGAAGATGGATATCTGTGTGGAACTGAATCCTAAGAATTCTGTGATCAGTGGTCACAGTGAATCGTTGAAAACAGCAACGACGAGATCTCTTAATCTTGATTCGTAGAATAAGACTACACTTAGCTACGTTCTTGCTGAAGCTGCGTTTGCTTTCTCTCTGTTATCAGGTAGCACCTCACCAGTGGAGAATGTAGTGAAAAAGTTGGGTATTCTTGGAAGCTCACCATACCAGTTACCTCAGGGTGGACTCTTAGGAGCTCTACCTGGACTGACACAACAGCAGCATCAGATGAATGGCATTTCTAACGCTTTGAACGCAGGTTTGTCTAACGCTTCCCGTCAACTTTCGATTTTCAAATGAAACCCTCTTATCAGTTAAATCTATCTCAGTCTACATACTACAGGTCGCTATTTTTTAATGTTGTTTAGGGTTTTTTAAATTATTCATTTAACTATCAATTATCCAGACTGACGAATTCTAACTTTTTTAAGGTGGCACTGGCTGTGTGTTGATGGTTTACGGACTGAATGCTGAAAAAATGAACTGTGAGAGAATTTTCAACTTGTTTTGTCTATATGGCAACGTTGTCAAGGTAAATAAATGAGAAATGAAGTTATAAAATTTTGGGAAATTTGGCTCAAAACATTTGTCTAATGGTTAAAGTCAGATTTCTCATTGAAACCCTGGGACATGACAAGTCTGGTAATCTGGGTAACCCTGGTGGTACCACTGTATCTTCAAATCTTGGTTTAGGCACTCATTCAGAGTGCTTAGTGAACACACCCGACAAACATTGCCATGTTGTTATTGTAGTTGAACAAAACTAAAGATAAAGTTTGGAATTGAGGGAAAAGTCCGCTTACTCCATAACTGAAAAGCACCCAAATGTCGTGGTTGAATGTTTTCCAGAAAGGCGGTTTGTCTGCATGTGTGGTAGAATTTTCAGAACGTTCTCCGCCCTGGTAGGTGCTATCGTAGGGTGGCATTTCTCCGATGTTGGTTACGTTATGTTCGCGATGAAACTCGGTTAAATTTTAAGTCTGGAAAAGTAGATTTATTGAATGGCAAAAATCGTCAATTTTGGGTTCAAAACCAGGCAATACCAACCCTTTAAACTAAACTGAAGGTTCTATTTATCAGGTTAAATTCCTCACCAACAAACTTGGAGCAGCCATGGTACAAATGTCAGACAAAGTTGCTTCGGAAATGATCATCCGAAACTTGAGTGGTGCTGTGCTTTTCGATTCCAAGATCAACATCATGTAAGCTTATTGTGAAACTTTTCTATCACAAATGCTTTCCAACACGATCAACGACACAATTAGAATTGTGTATCAGTCTCTTCATTGTGCAAAATTCCTCATAAAGAACCTTGCCTGGAGTGTACTACATACGAACTTTCGTTCTACTTCCAGATTTTCCAAGCATCCTTTCATAGCAGATTCATCGGTAGTAACAGCTTTACCCGATGGTACGCCTTCCTCCATGAATTTTGCTGACAACCGAAACAACCGGTTCAAATAGTAAGTTATCTTTTTTTCCGGAATACTTGAGATAAAAATTCCTCTCTGCAAGTTGAGTTTTCACATCATATCTTTCCAAGCACGACAGTTGTTGTTAAATTTTCATCTGAGGCTGCAGTGCGTAAAGTGGAGAACTTGATTTGATATTCGACATCGGAGCGAGTAGTTGATACGATTACAAAAGTCTCTTTTGTCCTCGTTACAGTGTAGTGGAGACGCGGTTTGCTAACGATGAGCATGCTAGACTCCGGGGTGAGAAGCCTGGGTTCTAGACCTGGTCGGGTCTTGGTGTAATATTCCTGGGCAAGACACTTAACTTTACTATGTCCCTCTCTATCCAGGGGTGTAAATGGGTACCGGCGAACTGTCGGGAAACTTGATAAAATCCTAGGGGTAGCCTCATCCAGGGCGAGTAGCATTACACTTAACTGCTTTATGCTGTGGAGACTGCGATATGTAAGTTGTTACGCCTTGTTGGCCACTTGATTCGAGTGGCGATTTCACTTTAACTTTCTTTAATTTTGTCTGTTTGTTTACATTTGCAGTCTTCCCGAGGGTCAGAGTCTCAAGAATAGTATCTTTTTCAAACTTTCTTTTGCTTCTTTTCAAACCGATCAGATAATCGCGGTAAAGTTACGGCTCGTTTCTGCGCGTGGCACTGCGCGTACCAGTGAACAAGCGCCCTAAAATCTCTTCTCTGCGGAACGTACTCAAAGCAAATTGGCTTTTGCAGGGCGGTAGTCAAGCAGCGCCCAATGGCCCCCTGGCGCCTTATTTTTGCTCTTGGGCGACTCAGGAATCTTAATTTTTTCATAAGAAGCACATGCTGGGCACCCTGGATTTCACAGTTTCAAAGCACTGGGCTCACTTCAGTTTTTCTTAGAGCACAGCCTTGTTTTGATATTATATGTCGTTTGTTTGGGATGTGAAAAGTTTCTTTTTCCTTGAGACAAAAATGTTGTTCATTGGTAAATTCCTTAACTTGTAATTAGGATACCAACCACCAACAAGAATGCTTCACTTCTTTAATGCCCCACCAAACTGTACTGTGGAAACGCTTAAGGAGGTTAGTCAGCAGAGATAATTTGCGAATGATGCACGATCCTCGCAGTAGAGAGCGCTATTTATGCAATAGCGAAAATCAGACCTGAAAAAAATCAGGCCTGTACGGGATTCAAACCACTGACCTCTGCGATACTAGTGCAGTACTCTACCAATTGAGCTAACAAGCCAACTGGGAGCAGGCCGTTATCATTACGGGTTTATTACGAGTCGACTTAACGACCTGCTCCCAGTTGGCTTGTTAGCTCAATTGGTAGAGCGCTGCACTAGTATCGCAGAGGTCAGTGGTTCGAATCCCGTACAGGTCTGATTTTTTTCAGGTCTAATTTTCGCTATTGCATAAATGGCGCTCTCTACTGCGAGGATCGTGCATCATTCGTATCTATAACCGCAGTTCAAAATATATGAAGTTCATATATTCACCGTATCAGAGATAATTTGCCAGTTATTTGAGAACCAGCGATAACGTTTATTAATGCCCAGATTTTCCCGAGAATTTCCCACACCCCAAAGCGTGAGTGGACCTCGAAATGGTAATGAGTCTCAAGTATCGGGTGTAAACTGCATTGTGCTGTTTCGTTGCGATGTACCTGATGAGATGACAGGGAGAGATTAGAAGAAACCTCGCCTGTCATCCGGAAAGGGGCCATGTTTCATTCACTTTCTTCATGCGCTTTGTCCTTTTCCTCAAGCCAGTCTTTGGGAATCAAATTGATTAGTTTCTTTATTCTGCAGGTCTTCATCACTGCCGGATCTTTGTCTCCGTTGAAAGGAACTTTCTTTTCAAAAGGCAAGTATTGACATCGTATTTAGACATGCTGTCTTGAGCTTTGTCTTCTTCTCAGGAACAAAGTTTTACCCTGACCTTGCCACACCTGCATTCTGAAAAACAATTTGGTGGAAAATTCATAGAAACGTCCAATTTGACAGGAAACCTTCACAGTAACCTTCAGCGCCTGAATCCCTTCTGTCAGTGCTGGTCATCACATTATTGTAAAATTACATCACTTGAAGATTGCTCTTTAAACTGGGAAGGGGTTTGGGAAGAATCTGGAATGACAACATTTTTCAAGTCTCGTTTCCAAGGTTTTATTCCCAATCGTTCATTAAATAGAAAATTGAGTAGTCACGGCAATCATTCCTTGTATTTGTAGTGACAGACTCCACCAGAGCAACAACTTACAAATGTTTCTGTTTCTCTCTCTCTCTTTTTTTTTTTTTATAATGGTACAAATTTCAGCAAACGCCAAGTCATCAGCAGGGTTATTGGAGATGCCCGATATCCGTTCAGCCATGGAAGCGTTAACTCTTACCAACCACTTTACCATTAATCCTCCAGGTAACAAACTTAAAGTCGCCCTTTAGTTTGAAATGCACCATTACGACACCCCCTCCCCCTCCTGAAACGATCTTACTTTGAGTGGGGATACTGTATTTTGAGTGGTAATTCTGAGGGCTTTGGCTCAAACTTTCTGCCCTCACCTCCGCGATGTGGGTTTCAATAGTGTTTGTGGTTAGTGGTTTGATTTTTGCTGTCGCCGTCATGACAGATGGTCATAACGGTAGTTTATTTCAAAATGTCAAATAGAGGTCAGTTAGGTCCTTGTCCCATCCGGATTAGATAAGAAAATAAAGTTCTTTGTTTATTATTTATACGATTCTATGGGGATATTTTATGCAGTATTATGGGATGGAACTGTTCACTCCAGGGAATGGTTGCCTTAATCGAGGAAAAATGTTGTTCACGCAAGAATAGAACATCATTTACAGTACCATGCCTTAAATAGGGCGGGAAAAACTTTGTAAATGTAAAACAGAATTTCGATATAAGCCTCATGCGCCTGATTGTTTTCAAGGAGGGGGTTTTCCCAGGGGTATTTTGTTTCAAATTTTTGGTAGTGTTGCAAAACTGTACGGTACAAAACTCATCCAAAGATGTGTGATTGTGTTGTTAGGTGGCGGATCCTACACCCTGAAATTGGCCTTCTCCCCAAGCTCCTCAATCTCTCCAACGGCTCCAACCGTTGCTCCGGCAGTTGCTGCGGCAGCGGTTGCCGTCAGCAATGGCGCTAATCCCTTGGGACCTATCGGCTCGCCGGTGCATCCGGTGCACCGATGTATGGCTGGAAGCCCGATCAGCATTGTGACGAATGGTGTCAAGGAATTGAACGGTGACTCCGAGAGGAATGGGCTGAGTCCAGAGCATTTGTCAAGCTGCAGTCCTTAGGAGGGAGACTGGCACACAAGTTACAGAGGTAACTTCCAATATTTGAAAAGACTTCAAATTAAGTCACTGATTGAACTTCGAATGAAGAGAAATCTCCCAGGTAAATGAATTATTAATCAATGGGAAGAGTGGAACATCAAAAAAAATATATTAGGTCGTTATATAAGTCAACAAAAATGTTGTATTGTCGTTCGCCGACTGCTTTGTTTTCGCTCTCTTAGAACAGTACGGAATGAGCGTGCGTAGAGGTTCAAAAGTTAGAGTAACAATGCTCGGTGAACGCACCTTTTTCATGCGTTAGGTTTATGGTTCAAATTTTTAGTTAAAGGTTAACAATTTTCCCTCGTTAGATTAAGAATTTATTAAATGCAATGAGGCGATGGAGGCCTCGGTTAAAACCAGCGGTTAATAACCCTGGGTTGAGCAGTTGAATTGCCTTCCAAAAATATATAAATATATTACATAAATATTTACACCACGAATATTAGAGTAATTTTTCCAAAACTCGTATGCACAGTGAGTCTAAACTAAGATTCCTTTTGTTTACATATACAAAGTTTTCCTACATCATAGATTTATTAGATCTTGACTCGTGGGGAGAAGTCAAACTTCACAGGCTCCCGAGGAAATGATATCATTAATAAACAAGATATCTATCACTTATAATAACTTTTTTTCATCTAATTTACATTTTTTCATTGACTGTCATCGCCACCGTAAATGCTTCCCAAAACTGTTGATACATTGTTGACAATTGTTCAAGGAAATGTTTGTTTTTAAGGGAGAAGAATAAGTTGTGTTCCTGTTGTTGTTGTTGTTGTTGTTGTTGTTGACGTTGTTGTTTTTTCAATTTGGAGTTTTGACCCGTCTTCACGATCTATTTTTTCGGTTGAAATTTGGTATCCTCATCTTAAAACTAAAACTTAACTACCTCCTTGACATGTTCGTCAACAGTTGTCATCAGGTTTTAAGGTAGCAAAGACGACGCGTTGTTTACTAAAAAATGTTAATGTCTTATACAATACACGTAAATGGTTTCTTAATTTACATTTAATAGTAAGCTTAAAACACACCGAGTCGGTATTTATAATTCAAGATGTTTTCCACAGCGTACGCACCTCTTTGTTAAATACTTTTACCGTATTATCGATACGGAAATTCTCCTGACCTTACCGCATACACGTGCTCTTCAATGAGTGGGAAGAATTTCTTTACCAGTACAAGAGTTCTGTTCTCTGTTAATGATTATGGGCGTAATTCCTGTCACTTGATTCCAAAATTTAAAGTTTTCTTTTTTTTCTGAGGTAGATTTAGTTTTTAAATGGCTTTCGAGAGTTAGTCAAGGTAAGGCTGGGATGTTAAGAATTTTTTGTTGGAGCTTTTTTCTTTGCAGTTCTGTCTAGCAACTACCTTGCAGGAAGCAACAGGGAACATCAGGTCGTTAAGGGAAAATATCAAAATTTTATTCACATTCAATTGAAAAATGACGAATGAATTTTATAGAAATTTAGACTTATTGAAATTGCTTTTATATTTGCCTTATTTTTTCAAATAATTTGTACTTATTAGCGGAAAAATATATTGTTATAACATGCAGTTATTTTTTTCGGTCAGACTCTCATCAGTTGTGTTTCCTAGCAACGGTGGTTTGTCATAAAACTGTAAAGAGCCACCTTGAAATCTTTTACGCTCGAGAAATTATGAAAATTCTTCCTATCCGCGAATCGAAACTATTAATTAATTTCCTAAGGAAAAAGAGGACACACATTTTTTGTGTGGACCGACAGAAAAAGAATTGTTCCAAGTTAAAAGAGAGAGAGTAAGAGTTTAGGAAATATTTCAAATAATCGAATTCACGCATGTGCGAACAAACCACGAAACAGAGACAGATTCAGAATTGTTAAAACTTACGTCGAATTTTTGTTCTTTCGGACTTTTGTACGGGGTCCCGATTGCATAATTTTTAATTGGAAATAATTTAATTACATGGTCTGAGTCAAAGAGGTTTTTAATATAAATCGTCGCACATGTTCAATTACTCATAGAGGTCAACTTTCAATAACGTTGTACATATTATAGGTTATAGAATTTAAGAAAAGAGAGAGGCTAATTCAGTATCTCCATTTAACACTTCAAAGTAGAAAACAAATATTATGAACTTAAAAATTACCAAAACATATTTTAGTGGAATTTGGTATAGCGAATTATTAGTTGATTCATTTATAAACGAATGCTAAGACAGCCAAACCGCTGAGTTAAGCTCGTTCCCAGACTTACTCTTCCTTTCGACCTTCAAGGCGTGTGTTGAAGGAAATGGGAGGTTCGGTTGGTCACTTGTATCTAAGGGGAATGAGAAGAAGAGATGGTTTGGAAACGAGACTGCCACCAAAGTACTTAAAATGTCGCCAGCAACAACTATTACATCTGCTTTGATTAGCTAATTTTTCCAGAAAAAGTATACAATTATAAGTCGCAACGTTCATGTTGAAATGGCTATGCCACGATTTAGTTGAGTTTATTATGATTTATTCGGAATTTCTGCACTCGTTAAATTTTATTCTTTATTGTTCGCAAGTGCTATTTTAAGATTTGACATCTTTTTCCTCTTAGAGTTCTTATAAATGGGGTTTCAATTTTTGGCGTCATTAGTTTTCATTCCTGGTGAACGTGATTCACCCTTTAGGTGTTTCTTTGACAGCCTAAACTGACAGAAAGAGAGAGAGAGAGAGAGAGAGATTGAAACGTGAATGGCATTGTTCAAATTTTTTTCAACCTTATTTCATTCGAAAAGCTCTCAAGTTGTGAGGGACAATATGTGAAGTCTTGTTGGATAACTTTTTGCAAGCATTGGGTTAGAATAAACTTTTTTATCTTATTTTTGGTATTTTTTTTTCTGTCCTCTTTTTCGTAACTGTTGTAGTTATAGTTCAGAGCATTTTTCATTGGCGTTACACGGAGCAGAGATTCATATTGATCAGTTTTAATTTTTGCCCCTCTGATTGGTAAGGGCTTGTTAAATGAAAAACCACGTCATTCTGGTACAGGGTCGTTGAAGTAGTCGCTCTTTCTGTAACTTTAATGTTAGTTTTGGTTAAAACTGGAAACTTTTTCCAGACTCTGGTAAGGCGTTGTCGAAAATAAGTGGGTGGCTTAAAAAAACGTTTAAAATAAGATTAACCCACGTAAAACTGCACACACACGTTTTTATGTAAAATGAAAAGTTAGGTTAATGAGCTAAATATTGCAAGGCCTGTTTGTTTTATTCTTTGCAAAATTTGTTGCATTTTAAACAACTGTTACCTCAATCCGGTTATCAAAGGACTGCTATACTACAAAAAGAAAAAATGGAAAAGTACTCCACATTAAAGCTGCATTAATTTTGTTTTTGTTGTATTTTGTGGTTGTTTGTGGGTTTGTTCCTCTTTTAGAGCAGTGCCGCCTGTCGCATCAACCCTGAGAGTGACCAGTCGCCTAGGCAGCAGCTTTTGGAGATGTTACGCGACGCTCTCAATTAAGGGCGGTGTCTAAAATGACTGCGAAAGAGGCTTACTTTTATGAATCGGCACGTTTCTCACAAGTGATACCTGTTATGATCACATCTGACAGTCGAGAGTCCAATTATTGTCAAAGGAGATTGGAGTCGAGTTTTGACCCTTTCACTCCCGTGATTAGTTACTCTCATTAGTTACTCTCCTTACTCTCTGTCATACAATTCTTATAACGCTACTCTGGAGAATTTGATATCTGATCAACTAATAATTCCCAAGGGTTAGGGTTATAATCAGGCTACCCCCATCCACCCCCACGTTTTAGGGCTTCAAGTTACTAGTGACGCGTGTATTTGAAAGCCTTAAATGATCTCTTCCCAATGAACGGAGACGGTATTTCTTGATGCCGGGCGACAGATTGAACAATTTCTTCTGTCACAGCTTTAGTGTGAGAGCCTCTAAGAAACGATGAGACGATTGAAAAACAGGTCGGGTGAAAGGAACAGAAAATTGATCAATCTGCATCTTGCATTGTTAACCCTTCAAGTTCAGCCAATCACAGGCGTTCAACCCCGCCCCTTCTGTACTCAGCCGTATTTTATACGATTCCTTTTCCCCCTCCACCTCTGGATGAAGTTTGCAGTGAGTTTACTACGGGTTTGCAAGTGATTGGAGAAACCCTCGCACTTTTTTTTTTATTTGACAACACTCTGGGTCTTAATAAATCTTTGCTCGCATCTTAACCGCCACCTGGTTAGCTCAATTGGGAGAGCGCCGGACTGTTGTGCGGGAGGTCGAGAGTTCAATACCGGCCGGACCAACACTCAGGGTCTTAAAATTAATTGAGAAGAATATGCTTCCTTTCTTTAAAATCAAGAAATGGGTTAGATATTCTAGTCTTCTCGGATAGGGACGAATAAATGGAGGTCCCGTCTCCTGCAGGGTTGGGGTAGGAGACGTTAATTCCCACGCACGAGATTACTGTGTGATGGATATCCTCCCTGGGGTGGGTTGGGT